GCTTCGTGGACGACAACCCGCTTCTCTCCTTCTCCTCCGTGAAGGTGAACCTCGCCTCGCGTCTGCTCGGAACTAACGTCAAGAAGTATCCCATCCCTACCTCGCGCGCTCGTACACATCTCTGGAAATCCTGGAAAGCGAGCAAAGAATTCGATGCTATCACCGCGCGATGGCTGGATGAGATCCTGTTGCGTGCTGATCGTGTCCTCAAGCCCTACTGGCGCAACCGTGACTGGGGTCGGCTGGAAGTGGCCGGCGACTACCTTGAGGCACGGGCCGATACGGTGCTGGCGCGTGTAGATATCGATCCGGAGATCAGCTCGTGGACGCCGATCGCCTTCAAGATTGCGGATCTGTCGAGTTTCGGCGTGGGCGGAGAATCTCGTATCAACACCCGAACACTATCTACGCAGATGCAGGACACGGACACGGAGCTTCATGTTCTCGCCATGGACACCGGTACGTGGCCCAATGAGCCAGGTGGTGTTTCCGCCTGTAGGCGAGATATGGTCAACGACTTGAAGGGAATTCGCTGGCACATTCTTGCCGAAGCCGCCAACGACTTTGGTGTGCCGAGGTTCCAGATCGAGCGAAACGTGCAGTCCCTGACGGTCTTGCCGCAATGGGGTCTTGACTTCTTGAACCCGACGCACGGCATGTTCCAGAACTACCTTGATTCAGAAGTGGTCCAGAAGATCCATGACACCAAGGTTGCGGACATCGAGCGCAACTTCATTCCTATTCTCGCCAGCCTGGTTCGGTGTGCCCGGACAATCAACAAGACACGTGCGCATGTGGAAGAAGCCACCAAAGCCTTGGTTGACCTGAACACGTACTTTGAATCTTCGCGCAACTGGAACGATGTCTGGATGAGTGACACCGTCAAGCGCGCTTGGCGCGAGCTTTGGCTGACTGAGGAAATGGACGGCGCTATTCCTGTCTCCGAATGGTGGCATGCCGAGTTGCCGACTCTACAACAGCTGGATACAGCTCTCGACATGTGGCATCGCTGTAAGTAACCTTCTGGCTGTCTTCCAGCGCACAGATCACTAACCATCTTCTAGATCTCTTCATCTTCTCCGTCCCTGTCCCCGACCGCATTCCGGACGTGTTCCAAGCATCGCACCATTTCACGGGTGCCAACTACGGTGTGCTCTGCAAGGTCAAGCGCAAGTGTGCACTCCATGTTTGGGATCACTGCGTCAGTTTCCGTGAGATGACTACCTTCCTCTCCGCGGCCGTGTCATTCGACTCCACCTTTGTCAATTCCACCCTCATCTCTCTCGGCCATCTGTCCTGCGTTCTCATCGAACACCATGCGGACGTTGTCCTCCCTTGCGCGGAGTACTTCAATCCTGGATGGGAAATCGAGCTGGGAACGTGTGAGGGTGTCTTGGAGCATCGCCGGGCCTTTGCACGCAAGATCGATCCGGTGGTCAACGGTATCACGAACATGGAGAGGTACAAGCCGATCGAGAAGATCAAGACGGAGACACCCACTGTGGTCATGTTGTCGCATATTCGGTAAGTCTTCCTTCCACGGGTATGGCACTATTATTGGAGGGGATCATGCTAACGCGACACGCAGTTACGTCAAGGATATCAAAACGGCCATCATGGCCACGGACTTGATTGTCAACCAATGGGGCTTCAAGGACTATCGCCTGCACATCTACGGAGATATGGAGCGTGCGCCAGGCTACGCCTCGGAATGTCAAGAAGTCATCGCATCGAAGTCCCTGCGCGACCACGTCGTGTTGAAGGGTCTAGGCAAGCCGGATGTGGTGTTACAGGATGCTGTGAGTATTGCCCCTTCGCGTAATCCTTTAATCCCCAACAACATCACTAACGATCCATCGCAGTGGCTGTTCATGAACTCGTCGACCTCAGAAGGTCTACCGCTCGCCATGGGTGAAGCCGCCCTCACCGGCGCGCCCGTGGTGTGTACCGACGTCGGCGCGTCGTTCTGTGTGGTCGTCAACCGCGAGACCGGCAAACGGTTCAGCGAGGTCGTCCCCCCGAACGACGCCTTCTCCCTGGCGTCCGCCCAGATCCGCGTGATGGCCCTGCTCGGCGAATGGAGCCAATTCGCCGGCGACCCGGAGGGCTTTGTGCCCCCGACGCTGGGCCTGCGCCCGTCCCCCGAGGAGGTGCAGGCGATCTCGCAGCGCATGTACGCCAAGCAGGAGGAGCGCCGCCAGTTCGGCATGCAGGGCCGCGACAACGTCCTGGCCAGCTTCTCCAGCCATCGCTACCTCCGCGAACACGAGCAGATGCTGTGGCTGGGCAAGTACCAGAGTCTCAGCTACTTCGCGCACGGCCCGGCCTCGATGAGCGGCTCGTCCAGTGGCTTCTTCAAGGACACCAAGGGCCGCGTGACCGTCGAACAGGTCGGGGATGCCCTGCTCCCGCCCACGCCCCCGTGGATGGGCGGTTCCCGGCGGACTCGCGGCAAACGCTTTGAGAGGTTCAGTTCGACTAGCACGCAGTCCCTCGCTTAGGTGGTTTTTTTGTGTTGCGTTGCATTGCATTGCATCAAGGTGGATGGATCTCATGATTGCACTTGCTTTAGTTGTGGAGATTTGTAAATACGGACCATCTATACGGTCTTGGTCTTAATTAGCATAATCATAATTTACGATTGGGTATTTACAGAAACCCTCGTGACGAGAAACTGGCTGTCTTTCCTGGTATTGAACACGTTATCGGAGACTTGGAACCGGGGGCAGAGTCAGTAGTTACATCATCGGTTGGAATATGTGCTCCGTAGGGCCGAGTGGCTAGTTGCTTATGTATGTGACACCATTGCTTATCAGTTGGCCGTGCCCCTTTGACTGTCTCTTACTCTTCTTGATTCTGCCTGTCCGATATCCTGATACGAGGACTGAGTGGCAGATATTGCATGGCCTCCGAGTTGCGTACCAAAGTCCGACGGGCTGGTCAATTGATTCTCAAGCCTGCGATGGCCAGGTGCGCCGTAGCTTGACCACCCACATTAGGTGGGAATTAGGGCGAGTTGACCAGTTCTACTTATCTCCCAACTCGGCAGTCTAGTCGAGCTTGCTCCTCATGCGATCGTAGTTCACGACTGACTCCAGCAGCGTTTGCGTTCCCAGGGCACTGCAAGGTATCAGCTCAGTCCGACCTGACCGAAACACAGAAGATTCTCAGCAACCAGCACTTACCAGTCCTCAGGTTTGCAGTATTCCTCCGGATGATGGCTGACGCCCTCCTTACAGGGCACGAAGATCATGGCCGTGGGGCAGTGTCGGCTCGTGTAGACGCTGTCATGGCCCGCGCCGCTGGTGATCTCCAGCCAGCCGTCGGCGCCGACGAGCTGCGTCGCCGCCTCCTTGACGGCCGTCAGGCAGTTGGTATCGAACTGCACAGCGGGCGAATCGGTATCCAGCGTCCACTCGAAGGCGACGCCCTTGCCGTCCTCGCGCGCGATCTCGTTGAAGGCGGCCAGACATTCGTCCTGGACGGCGTGCACGACGCGGTCGCGCGGGTGCCGGATGTCCAGCGTGAAGGTCACCTCGGCGGCGACGGTGTTCGTGGACGAGGTCGGCGGCAGCTTCAGCACCCCTGTCGACGCGAGCGCCCCGTGTCGCCGGGCCACGGCGTTCGACGCCGCGATCATCTTCGCCGCCGCGAGGACCGGGTCGCGCCGCGCGCTGAGCGGCGTCGTGCCCGTGTGTGCATCGCGGCCGGCCACCTTGATCGTCAGCCACCGGTATCCCTGCGCTCCGGTCACGGCTCCGATCTTCCGGTTGGCTTCCTCCAGAATGGGGCCCTGTTCGATGTGCAGCTCGAAGTGCGCCCCGAGTGGGTAGCCCCTGGGCGAACAGGGGATGTCACCCAGGAAGCCGTGGCGCTCCAACTCGGAGCGTAGTGTCACGGCGGGGTCGAAGATATCCGCCAGTTTCCAGGCGTTTTGGATGGGGATCTCGCCGGCCCAGACGCCGGAGGAGCACATGGATTTCGGGAATCGGGCCCCCTCCTCGCTGTGATGCGTTAGATCTAGTCATGGTGTGCTGTGCTGTACTCACTTGGTCCAGTTCACCAGTCCGACGTCGAATCGGGTTTGGTAGCCGTGGTCTTTCATCGTGCGCAGCACCTCTAACGCGGCGATGACGCCCAGAATGCCATCGTACCGGCCCCCGCGCGGTTGCGTGTCGAGGTGACTGCCCATTGCCGTCATGGGCGCCGGGGAGTTGAGAGACCCGCGTTGTCGTGCGAACATGTTGCCCATCTGGTCGATGGTGACGGTGCAGCCCAGCTTCTCGGCTTCGTCCAGCAGCCACCGGCGGACTCGGGCGTCGTCATCTGTCAGGCATAGTCGATTCATGCCGGTTTCCGTGGGGCCGCTATCACTGTGTCAGAGATGCTCAAACTCGAAAAGTTTGGTATAATACTCACTCGCCATATCGATGAGCTGCGCCCCATTGGCAGGTGTGATGGAGAGTTTCCAGCAGGCGATCGGAATTGATCTTCAAGCCGGAACCGGCGTGCGAAGACAGCTGCCGCCGGAAGCTCGTCGCGGTCAACCCCCGAGAGAATGAGGGTTTGAACATGATTGTGTTAGCTCTGAGCGAGGGCGTAGAGGGTTTTAACTGACAGCGCCGACAATGGTCAATTCGATGGTGAGGTTGGTGGAGGCTGGATGGCTTCAAATATTGTTCCCTGGTCGCCGACCGTAGAACAATTGCGCCTTCCCGCGACCGGCGCCTTCTTGCGACAATCCGCTTCTCCTCCACATACCCACCCAAATTGTGGAGATTGAGAGGGCAGAAAGAGAAAAACAACTGGAACAAAACAAAAAATAAATCAAATAAAGAGTGGCCTTTTTTCCAATGGAGCCGAAGGAGAAGGATTTAATGCCGAGATGCACATGTTGTCAAAAGGCGCAGAGTAACCGCCAGCCGGACCGAAGCATTTATTAGAAAGCCAACAACCGCCGCCTCGCATCAACCTAACTGCAACAACTGCACTTTATCAACATGGCCCCTCAACGGCGATCCATCTACATCAATTCTGCTCCTTCGACGATAGTGTCGCCGCCCGCGGCCCAAGTCCGGGCTTTTCATGAGCAGTTCCCGGGATACCAGGCCAGTCCTCTGGTGCCCTTGCCCGAAGTCGCGCAGGAACTCGGCGTCCGTGCAGTGTATGTCAAACAAGAAAACAATCGTTATGGCCTACCCTCCTTCAAAGTTTTGGGAGCCTCATGGGCCATTTACCGGGCGCTTCTGGCACTCCTCGACCTCCCCCTTGAGACGTCTTTAGAAACCCTCACGGAGCGCATCCGGGCGGGTGAGCCTTTCACGTTGATGGCCGCCACGGAAGGAAACCACGGTCGCGCGGTGGCCTGGGTGGCTCGTCAACTATCTCTACAGGCACGCATCTATGTCCCTCGCACGATGGTCGCGTACACCCAGGAAATGATCCGGTCGGAGGGTGCGGATGTTATCGTGGCCGATGGGGACTATGACTATGCCGTGCTGGAGGCCGCCAAGGCATCGCAAGCGACGGAAAACGCAATCCTAGTACAAGACACGGCTTTTGAAGGCTATGAGGAGATCCCTGCCTGGATTGTGGAGGGCTACTCCACGTTGATGCACGAGGTAGATGTGCAGCTACAGGCGCTGGGTCAGCAAAATACCCTGGTCGTTTCGCCTGCGGGCGTCGGATCGCTGGCTCAAGCGGTCGCGATCTATTCCAAGTCGCGCACAAGCCCGGCGACTTTTGTGGCTGTCGAGCCGAACACTGCTGCTTGTCTGAACCTGAGCCTCAAAACAGGCGAGTCGACCTCGATCGTCACTAGTCCCAGTATCATGGCCGGCATGAACTGCGGCACGGTGTCCTCCGCCGCCTGGCCGGTTCTGCAGAAACTTGTCGACGCCAGTGTCACGATTTCGGATTATGAGAGCCACTGCGCCGTCCAGTACCTTGCGTCAAACGGGGTAGACTCGGGTCCATGCGGGGCGGCCAGTTTAGCAGCTATTTGGCGTCTCAGAGCAGAGCATGATTCTCCCACGTACTTTTCGCCAGACTCGGTGATTGTATTGCTGAGCACTGAGGGTCGTCGTCCATACCAGGTCCCGGAAGATGTCTCGTCAGATGACCCGATTGTGTTGACCCAGACCCTTACACGAATTGACTCCTCCAACCCAACATTGTCCAAGGCCAAGGGAGCGGGCGAGACAGATATCGTCAACTATCTGTCGGCGTGGTTTGCGCATCGTGGCATCGAGCATCATCGCGTGGAAACCAAGCCCGGCCGTCCTTCTGTGGTCGGCGTCGTCAGGGGAACTGGAGGGGGGAAGTCTCTGATGTTCAACGGCCACGTGGATACCGTGACCTTGAGCACGTATGAAGGAAACGGACTGAGTGGGCATCTTGGCGAGAAGGATGGCAAACAGGCGATCTTCGGTCGGGGGACGCTTGACATGAAAGCCGGAGTCGCCGCAGGACTGTCTGCATTGGCGAGCGCTCAGCGATCGAGGCTTGCCGGAGATGTGATCGTCACTGCCGTGGCGGATGAGGAGGATGCCTCGCAAGGCACGATGGATGTGATTGAAGCTGGATGGAGAGCCGACGGGGCGGTGGTGCTGGAGCCCACCAACCTCAGGCTAGCACATGCTCATAAGGGATTTGTATGGGTAGAGCTGGAAGTCCAAGGACGCGCAGCGCATGGCTCGAACCCTGCGGCCGGTGTTGATGCGATTATGAACATGGGGTCGTTGTTGCAGGCCTTGAAGCAGTATCAGCAGCAGTTACCAGTGGACGAGGTGCTTGGTCAGGCATCGCTGCACTGCGGACTGATCAACGGCGGGGATGAGGTATCCTCGTACCCTGCCAGCTGTACATTGACCGTCGAGTTCCGGACTGTGCCCGCACAGACAGAGGAGATCATTCTGAACGATTTGCGAGGCCTGCTCACTCAGATCCAAAGGCAAAATGCCGTGTTTCAGTTCAGCGAGCCTCGTATCACTTTTTCACGCCCGTGCCAGTACCTCCCTGAGAGTCACTCCCTCGTGCAACAGATGGTTAAGATCAGCAAGGAGGTTCTTGGAGAACCTGTTCCCGTGGTCAGTGTGCCATTTTGGTGCGATGCTGCCCTTCTAACTCAAGCCGGGATCCCCAGTATTGTCTTGGGTCCGACTGGCGAAGGATTGCATGCCAAAGAAGAATGGGTAGAGGTGAACAGTGTGCGACAGCTGACAGAGATGCTTGAGAGGTTGAGTAGGGAATTTTGCCAATGAGTTTGAATGTATGTATCATAGACCACTTAGGGATGAATCCTCGAATGTAGACAGTTGGATTGGAGTTGGTGTGTTTACATGTTTACATCAAGGAACATGGAAGAAGTAAGTAAGTAACCGATGCCTGAGGCCAGACGGTGCATGGATTAGTCAGCTTTGCATGGCGGGGGCGACGGCGGGGCATTTGAGGTAAGCCCAATTGCAGAAAGCGGTGAGTGCTACACCGCCTTAATCTGCCTTTCCGCCTCCCTCGATGATGACTTCTTCCTCTCTCACCCCTCCTCTTCTTTAATTGTTTTATTTTCAACCTCGTCGCGTCTCGTTCCTATCGATCGAGACTGATACTTTTCTAGATGTAATCTTCATCTGCTCGCCTGGCATTCTGCGATGGATGATTCCTTCCCGTTCGATGACCAGCTTCTGTCTCCATCTTTCGAGAGCCTTCTCGATGAGACCAACCATTTTCTCGATCAGTCACCAGGCTCAGGCGCATCGTCCTGGAATCTCGCTCCTTCACTAGAAACCAGTAATGGCTTCTTGGACTGGGAGCCGCTGTCAGACAATGCAGCGTCTTTCGCACTTCCTAGCGATCACTCATCGTTCGACTACCCTCTGCAGCAAACCGAGCTACCTGACGTCCTCTCCAACGACAATCTCTCGCAGCACGATACATTGGCGTCTTTTGACTACTCACTTGCAGCACATCCTTCCCTCCCAGTTCATTCAACCCGTCTTAATGATGACTTCGTCAGTGTCTCCCAGTGGTTGGATGGTGCCTATAGACCCCCCGTGCCTTGCAGCTACTGCCAACGCCACCGACTACAATGTCTTATCCTGCGCACCACTTCCGCGAATCCCAACCCGGTCACCTCGTGCTCCAGTTGTGTCGCGCTTTACCGGGAGTGCAGCCTCGCACAAGGCGAGAAGCGCCAGGCTGCAGGATTCGAAACCATCTCCCCAGTGTTCGGTCATCTGCACGGCCTCACGGAAGAGCACGGCGGTGGAACTGGGCCCTCGGAGCCCGGGTTCGAAGTATCGGCAAGGCAGACGGACAATGCTCTTCAGGCTGAGACGCAAATGAGGCCGCGCTTCTCGCGCAAGGGCGCCAAAATTCTGCGCGACTGGTTCAATCGCAATCAGCACTCCCCCTACCCGACCGATGAACAACGCGCCGAGTTCGCCAGTCAGACCGGCTTCACCGAGCGACAGATCTCAAATTGGTTTGCCAATGCCCGCCGACGCCGGAAGATGGCGTTACGCACGCTGCGACCCAACCCCGCCACTCCCTCGCCTCGCGGCAGTTCCCCCATGCCTATTTCGAGGTGCGCGTCTTTGACGCCTATGGAGCGATGGCAGAAATCTCCTCCCGACCAAGATCCAGTCTCCCCAGCCATCATCCAGAAAGCTATCGCCACTTCGAGCCTTCCCCCAGCAGCAGAAGGTGACTTCAGCCGAGACGAGCGCGTAGAGGCGAGTCATCGCGGTGACGGTCATGCCTACTCAATCTCGAGTGTGGAAAGCGGACAGTTCGAGAGTGCGCGATCCCAAGCATCGTCCGACACGGCATCCTCAGCGGCCTGGAGCTACAACTCGGATGATCATTTCCCGTTCCCGCTGTCCGATACGCGTCGACGCCGACACTATTCTCGACGCAGGCCCTCATCCACCCACTCACTCGGCGACCTCCAATACCAATGCACGTTTTGCTCCCGATCTTTCAAGAAAAAGCACGACTGGTGCCGCCATGAGTCAAGTATGCACCTCTGTCTTGAGTCGTGGTTCTGCACTATTGATACCACTACACCTGATGATCCAGAGCCAGTGGAATGTGAGTTCTGTGAAACTCCACGGCCCTCGCCTGCACATCTAGAGTCGCACGAATTCGACGTCTGCGCAGATAGACCGCCGAGCGAACGAACATTCGCACGCAAAGACCACCTGATCCAGCATCTCCGGAAGTTCCACCGGTGCACAAAGGTGCCCGCGGCGAGGGTCCAGGGGTGTCGCTCCACTCGTACCGCCGTGAAGAGTCGGTGTGGGTTCTGCGATGCGGAGATGCAGAGTTGGATCGAGCGGGCGGATCATCTGGCGGACCATTTCAAGAAGGGCCTGCGAATGGATCAGTGGGCGGGTGGCTGGGGACTGGATCGCACATCGCTGGCGATGTTGAGAGAGGCTACCTTGCCGGCTCAACGCTCATCGGGGTCGTGACAACCATGTCCTTGAGTGGGAAAAGTTTCCGACATTCGCACCTCTACAAGTGTCTTCACAGAAACAACCGATAGCCCGGTGTAATATCCCAGCCAGTATTGCTTAGATCATCATGTGTCATGAACGCATCGCGGGTCATTCGAGCTTTAAAAAGCGTTGCCCGATCCATGAGTGACTCTCCACGGGCCTCCGACCAGCCGTAGCAGCAGCGCAGCGTCCTGCATCTTCCGCTCAGTCGACACCACTGGAACAAGGATCTTTTCAGACGTAAAGCCTGGACACTCTTGTTGGACGAGTGCGAATCTAATTACTCGTCAGCTAGATGATCGGTGCGTGAGGTTCGTCCCTGGCCATCATGGTCTATCCATCTACAGACAGTAAAATATATATAATTGAAACGATGCTTGTCATTCAGTCACTAGGCATGATTACGTTCCATCCCAGCATGTGACCGCAATCTACCTCATTTGACCATATTCGATCACAGTTGATTTGTTCTGCATAGTACAACAAAGTCTCACGCAACCACTCTCCACACAACATAAAACCCACTATACACTATTTTCAGTTACATCATTTTGAACTGTAACTGTCATTTTATATATACACACACATATATATACTTTCACACTTATCTACAGATGAAGGATAATGTGACAAGGGAGGTGAGCGGATCAGTCCCGGAGGCTACCAGCGCAGCCATTCATGTCCCCGGGAGCTGCAAACAAAAAATGCTTTCTAGACCGTGTACATCTAGACTTGTGGGGGGGGGGAATACTGGTATCGTGTATCATATCCAATGATTAGGTAATCTTCATAACTTTCTTCAGCCCGCTCAGGGAGACGGGCTTGACCAGGTACTCGTCCACTCCTGCGGCCAGCGCCTCTTGCTGCTGGTCCGCCGAGCCGAGGCCGGTAACTGCGATGATGCGGGTGGGAATGAGGCCCATTTGCTTTTCGTACTGACGGATTTGCTCGGTTGAGGTGATGCCGTCCATCACAGGCATAGAGATATCTGAAGCTTTTGTCAGTCTCATCTGTCGCCTGGTAATGGGCAAAGAGGGGCAGACACTAACCCATGAGAACAAGATCGTGGCGACGAGTGCCGTCTTTGTAGGTATTAAGGGCGATCAGGCCGTTGGAGGCCGTGTCGTAGCTGCAGCCTAACTTGCGAATGAAAGTGGCGAGAATCTTCCGCGACGGTTAGCATCGAGTGAACGGCAGCAAGGAACACAATACTCACCTTAAGATTGATATCATTATCGTCCACGATGAGTACATGTACATCTTTCAGGGGTTTTGTGGGTGCGGAGGAAGAAGAAGGCGACTGATGGGTATCGAGTGGGGGTGTTGACGCCGGTGGCATGCTTTGGAAAAGATCAGGAGTCGGGGAGAGTGTAGGGTCCAGCGTTGGGGGAGACAGCGGGGTTTGACACGGGGTCGGGTTCTTGATGTAGTCGTAGAATAGAAGGAGGATGCGGTTTAGCACTTCGTCAAATTTTCGAGGTCCAAACCTGGGTGGATGTTAGTGGAAAAATAGCGGGTGGGATAGCAGCCAAGTCTTACGGTTGTGATACGCGAATCATGTTCGGTGCCATGGTATCTCGTATCAGATCCTGATTGCTGTCCAAGACGAGGTAAAATCTGAACCCGCCTGGAGCGCCCATTGTTGGCTGTACCTTGCCGGCAGCCATGGCCTTGCTGAGGGTTTCCTCCTCTATCACGACAACTTCCCCCTGTGCATCGTCTAACGACTCGGCCTGGGTCAGAGTCCAACCAGGCTGTTTGAGCAGCACCGAGGTCAGTGAGCTGCGAATCGCCAGCTTACGCTTGGCTTCGGCTGGCAAAATCCCAGTCGGCACGTCGCGAGGATGTGGATAGCTGTCGAAGCCAACAAGGGAGAATCTCATGGGGGCTGTCGGCACAACAGGTGGTGATACTATGCCTGCGCCTGGTGTTGCACCCCCGTTGCCTGGAGCCATAAGACGAACGGGGATGTAAATATCCACCTGGGTCCCTATACCCAATTCACTGCGCACATTGATGTGGCCATCCAGGGAGGAGACCAATTGCCGGACAATGCTGAAACCCAACCCCAGACCTTCCGAAAGAGTATCTTCCTGCGCAAATGGGGAAAACAACTTGTGCTTCAGAAAGTCGGGAGCAATGCCACGGCCGGTGTCGGTAACAGTAAGATGAGCGAAGATCGACTGGGGGTCGGATTTACGCCGTGCCTTGGAAAGTGATACCTCAATGAAACCCGCCTTGGTCCATTTCAGGGAGTTTCCAAGGAGATTCATGACAATACGCCGCCAAGCCCCGGCTACGGATTGCACCGTCCACGCCTGTCGGTCTTGCACACGCACCACCACCGTCAGCTCTCCATCCTTAAGCGCCGCATTGGACGGCGTATGCATGAGGCGGCGGGTGAGCGGGTTGATTGTCCGACCCAGGCGCTGACCAGTATACTGCACATCGGTTACTTCCTCGATCAAACCATCGAGGTCGAAAACGGTCATGAGATTGACTGGCGATGAATTAGACGATTTGTCGACCGCGCTCTCTTCCCCAGTGGTCAAGTTATTGATTTTAGCGAAATCAAGGCTGCAGTTGTTAGTAGCGTCCTCGGTGCGATGGTTACGTGTGCGGGGCGGGGGGTGAAGATCCACTTACAGATGGTTCAATGTATCAAGCAGAGTCAAGCCGCAGCTCTGGACCATACTCATCCAATGCGATTGAGAGGGGTCCAGCGGGCTCGTTTGCAGCAGTTCCGCGCTAGCTAAGATGCCATGCAATGGAGACCGTAATTCATGGCTCACCGAGGAGATGAAGGCGGACTTGGATCGCTGGATGGTGGCCCAATCCACCCGCGCCACCTCGGATATGATAGAATCGCCGAAGACCTTGAAGTAATGTAGCTCTTCCATGTCTAGTGCGCGATCACTGCCCTGTGTCCAGACAAGTGTTCCCGCCAGCCAGCGGCCGCGGTTCCAATCCCATAGCGGGTAGAAGAGCACGCAGTACGCGTCGGGGAAACACTGTCTCAATTCATGGCACAGGGCTGCGACGTTCGTCCGTTGTGCATCTGAGGCTGGATTGGACGCCTCCCCCGAGGGCGTGACGGGATTGGATTGTGTCGACGGCGTGGCAGAGGCGATCTCGTCGTGAAGGTTGATAAACTGGCCATGCGGGTAGGCGGCCACGAGACGATTTAACAAATCTTCTGTCACTGGGTTCGGGTCAACGGATGAGGCTGCCAGGGGATGGCGCGCCTCTCCTAACACATCGCAGGGTCTCTCCGAAGCCTTGGAAAGCGAGCCTACACCAGGCAAATCCACTGGGCTCGGATACGGATCGGCGAGAAACTCCGGGTTGGCGGTGGTCGGAAGGGGTTCCCAGGAGCCTGAATGACCTGGACGGACCCTGTCGTTGCATTAGCTTACCGCATTTCATCCTATCACTGTCGAAAGATCGAGACTTACACTCCAGAATTGCTCCGAGAGGCATCCAAGAACATCACACCATCCAAGTCCATCGAGTCACGCAAAGTGGCACTGGCTCGGGCAAAAATGCGCGCCAGGTTATCCGAGATACTCGTCGGGGGGCGCACCGACACGGCGGGAAACTCTGAGCGGTCGGACGCTCCGAGAAACGTGTCCCGCGTATCGCTCGGCTCATCATCTCCACCGGTGTTCGTGGACCGAGTCGCCGGGTTGATCGAGGTTGTTGCAGTGCTCTGTTCGGAGCACGTGACCGCAGAGAAGAGCGAGGTTAGCTCCCCAGTCAACTCCGAAGCAGTGGAGGGACGGCCTGTCGGTGGCTCCGAGGGGTCGGGGGAGGTGTTGGTCTCAATCCAAGGTGGCGCTTCGGAGTCGGTAGTGGAAGGGGGTGAGTCCGTGGGCACCGTCACAGGGGGCACTTCGGTCGGGTCAAAATCGGAGTGGCCTTTGACGAAACTCGTCAAACCTTTGACCAGACTTTCGGCGCGGCGATGATAGTGGGCGATACGGACATGCTCCAGATGCCGGGAGATGGCGTCGGCGATTTCTCGGAGGGTGGCGACATCGGCATCTCCGAAGTGATCGCGCGGGTGGTCGTCCACGATGCAGAAGGAGCCGAGCACGTAGCCAGCGGGGCTGTAGATGGGGACCTCGGCGTAGAAACGAAAGTACGGCCAGCTGACGACATACGGGCGATCTTTGTAGAAGTCTTCCTTGGTGAAATCTCGAACAATGAAGCGGGATAGGTTGGCGGTCAGATTGGGGGAATCGACGATCTTGGAGGCATCCTGGCCGGTGAAGAGGGCGATGGAATGCGGACAGACGCCCCAGATCAGATCGAGCGTGCGCACACCGAGGTAGATGCCATCGTCCGGGTCGTGTTTATCCTTGTCACGCAACGAGATGGATTTGGTGGCTTCGGCGACAATGTACTGATTCACGCCGTCGATAATGGAGACATAGGAGCGGTTACATCCGAACCGGTATACACCCAACTGGGCCAGTGCTGTGAGGGTGATATCCGAGGACAGGCGAGCCTCGGGAGGAGCATCGTCGTCGGGAATATCAACGTGGGAATCTTGCTGATCGGTGTCTTGGCTGGGTACCAAGCGGAGGACGGGTTGATCGACAGTACAATAGTATCTGTAGGGTTGGGGTTGGCAGGATCAGCAGCAGTTACAATGGGTTGATTGTAGGGGTTGTACATTGGAGCAAGCGAACGGAGGTACCTGGATAGATCACGAATGCGCTCTCGCTCCGCCTCTGGGTGTTGCAAGGACGCTGCCATCGCGCACACAGCCCGTTTCACATCGCCTTCCTCGCAAAGGGCGGGGGCGAAGAGAAACGAGCGGCGGAGGAGGCGAGGATTCAGCGATGACCCCGATCCGATCAAGTCAGAGCGTTCGAGTCAACGCAAAAAAACCTTGAAATGAGAGAGAATAGATGCGGGGCGAGGGGGGAAGGGGAGAATCAGAGAGAGAGAGAGAGAGAGAGAGAGAGAGAGAGAGAGAGAGAGGCGCGAAATGGGACCGCAACAACAGGAGGTTGGAAAGAAACGTGACACCAAAGAGGAGGAGGAGGAAGGCGTATTCGAAAGAAAAGAGGTTGATGCAGACAACCTTAGAAAAGAATTGGTGAAAGTACGTAACTAGTGGCTCAAGCAAAGGAGCTGAGTCAGGTTACTAGGTAAAGATCCCAAATGGACGAAATGGAAGAAAGAGGCGAAAGCTTCTGGGAAAAGCGGAATTTGGGGTAGGTACAGTACTAGGTAGTTAGAAGCGGAGGGAGGGAAAGGCAACCTTGAAGGAAGTAAGCGCAAGAGCCTGAGGCCGCCAGAAGATTCAAAGAAGATTCAAAGAAGATTCAATCCTGTTCGATGCAGTCAGTGGTGAGTGTTCGAGTTGAATCAACAGTCAGTCGCAAGTGTCAGGAATCTTGTTTGAAGGCCACCGGCAGAATCCTGGTCACCGCCCCGGCAGTCGCTGGGTTGGGCCTGCCGCCCGGGAAGGTTGGCGCGCTCATTGGTTGATGGCATGCCGGCCGAGAAAATCTAGAACCTGGTCGGAGAAGCCTGGAGCTGGAGGCGACGGACTCGTGGCTGGATGGGGTTAGTACATGGTAGTACCTACTAGGTAGTCTCGCCGTTGGGCACGCATTTGACTGGTTTGGCTGTTTTGCCCGGTTTTGCCCGGTTACCACACCCACCAATCACTATCGACTTTTCGGCTTCCATCCGGGTCTAGTAGCCACTGCACCTGGCTGTTGGAAAGCCTCAGGCATGACAGTGGACATGGTAGGCCTCTTCTATAGGTACTCATACAGGTCAAGCTGGAAAGAAAGAGCCAGCCAGCCAGCCAGCCAGCCATTAATTAATACCTCAGGCTGGAATTCTGTCGCATTCTTCTGGGCCTTTCAGACCCATGCAAGCAGCCTACCTAGTACAGTACATTACTGAGGACATCAGATGGCAGTGTTGTGTAACCTTAATCGGGCAAGCCACCGACAACAACCTTGAAGCCACCGGCAAGCCACAATGATGTCACCTCCCAAGAGACCTTATCCCCAGGCCTGAGGCATCAAAAGGCCACCAGGCATCAACACATGACCAAGTTACTGTACTCCGTACCGGAGTCCGTACTATGAATTAACTTACCTTACTGGTGTCTAATCAACAACCGCAAACATCTTACCCCCTGTGACCTTGCCAAGTTTCTGATCATCCCTCAGCGAATGCCTCATGTTCATACTCATTTTAAATTATGTCCCAACAAGTCCCAACTTAAGGTTAATCGCACCCCTCAATCCAAAGAATGTCTAAATGAAGCTCTCCGGCCCGTATCGACTCCCCCCCACTGGGGCTCACGGAGCCTCGCCCTCAACTCATACTTCAACAGGATGGTGGCCTTCCATAACCACTAAGCCGTAACCACTAAATATCTCACGCTGTCCAGTCCAACTTTGCCTACGTGACATCTTCTCCAGATTAAAACAAAATGCTGATTGATAATCCAGCATCGGTCACGCCATTCCGCTTGCGACTTTTCGATTTCTAATCATGTTGCGGGAGGATGATCTCCCCGCATTCTGCCCAAGAGTATATATTTGTTGCTGCAAAAGAGCCTGAGCTCACCAAACAGACTGATGTATACCGGCTAGCATCATGTCGACTCGTACTGCGATCATCGGTCTCTCGTCCACCGCCACGACCTCCTGGGCTGCCAATGCGCATTTGCCGGGTCTGCGCCGGTCTTCGCGGTTCCAGATCGCCGCTCTCTGTAACAGTAGCCGGTCGGCCGCCGAAGCCGCCATCGCAGAATACGACTTGGATGCCAGTACCGGTAGCGTCACTCCCTATGGCAGCCCCGGCGATCTAGCGGCGGATCGCACGATCGATCTCGTGATTTGCAGCACGCGAGTCGATCGGCACTATGAGACCGCATTGCCCATGATTCAGGCGGGCAAATCGACCTACATTGAGTGGCCCATTGCCAGCAATCCGACCCACCTCGAGGAGCTTCTCGCCGCCCGCCGCCGCAGTGGTGCTCAAGTCGCGGTGGGGCTCCAGAGTCGCTTTGCACCCCCCGTGCGTCGGATCCGAGACCTGCTCCAGTCGGGTGAACTGGGTCGCTTGCTGAATACTGAGGTCCGCGCTTTTGGAGGGACCCTGGATCGTGAGTTTCTCCCGCCCGGATTGGCATATTTCGCCCAGCGCTCGGTCGGCGGGAACCCGATCACCATCGGCTTCGCTCATGGTACGTACCCTAAGAAAGATGTCATGAGTCAAAACGTGCTAAAGGAGACAACTTGGAACTGTACAGTCATCGACTTTGTGCAATCGGTGGTCGGGGATGTGATCCCGGAGACCGACCACATTCAATTCCAGCTCCAGCGCCCGAGCATTCGTCTGCGCGAGCCCACCACAGGGTCGATCGTGGAGACTATCCGCTCCGATGTGCCTGATCTCGTCAGCCTCCATGGTAAGTGGCGCTTTCCAAGACATGGAACAGGGTCTACCTAACTAACTAACCTCCATAGGACACTTGCCGGAATCAGCCCACGTGGCAGCCCAAGCTAGTCTAGTCGCCTACTTCAGTCGAGGCCAACCCTTCCCGGGGGACCCGCAGCTCACATGGACCTTGACCTTCGAGCAAGGTGCCGTTCGTCTCATCTCCCCCGCGGGTATTGTGCTGGGTGCAAACACCTATGCGGAGCCTGTGACCATCTCGGTGCATCGCTTCGACACCGGTGAAGTGGAATCGGTTCCGTGGGCGTGGTCGCCCGAGCAGGAAGAGCTGCCTTTCAGTGCACGCTCCGTCCAGAGCTGCTTGGTGAGCTTGGCTGAAGGGGACTCGGATGGATATGTATCACTGGAACAGGCAGCTGCGCGGGCGCGGCAGATTGCACGCTGGCTTGACTCGTTTCCGGCATAATGATGTGTGAGAATGAGGGACGTAGATGTCAGTCTCAAGCCTGACGACTAAGGGTGATAACCGAAGGCCATCAAATATGGAAAGTGGTGGTGGTACCGTGACAGTAGCTTGGGGTCAGTGGCGCTCGTGTCGGAGTAAGAGGAGGCCGAACACCTCGTGGGGGCCACCAGCCCGATACAGCCTTTCATCTTCTGTCCACCACGCTTGGTGCCTTTATAGGGGTTTTTTTTTTCTGCAGGGTAGCTCATGATACCCCTGCATCAAAATAGAGTCCTTCGATGACTGACCTTACTGAGGTTCTCTCTCCATTGAATCAGATTCCTCACAATCTTCGGTGCTGATCATCGTCTGTCTTGAGCCGCAGGGGGTGGGGGCCATTGAGCCTGACAAGCTGCACGGTCGTCATCTTGTTTCGGGTTGAGAGGCTTTCGACAGGAGGCTATGAACGAATGAGAGAATTGGTCAGTTGAACAAGAAAACCGAGCCTCGTGTTCCAGTGTTGCCGCCCCTGACTTGTTCTGCGCCTCGTACCTGCGGCGAGTTTAGGGTTCTGCGCGTCGACCGACCGGAGCGTCGATCTAGATTTCTATCCCACTAGCTCAGCCTGTTATTAGTGGGTTCTCTTAGCGATGACAAGAGGAAGCACTTCTTTCTCGTCCTTTCCACCTCGAGCCAAGATTTGTTTGGGATATACTTCTTTCCAAACTTGGCCTTCCGGTACCGGTCTGTTGTGCGAAAATTCAATGCGAACAATCACAAAAAGCACCATACTTATTGATTAAACGCAAGATAAAGAGTTCTGCAAGACTTATGCGGAGGACTCCGAGCCTTAAAGGAGAGGATGGGGGCCAGGTACGGATCCTGCGGTGGCAATGCCGTCGTGTCTGAAGTCGGCCCCAAGGATGAAACCACACGGCTGGCATAACAGGATGAGAAGCAGAAACACCAGGGTCGATTAGCTTTTCTACTCCATTAAAAGGGACTATATTGTTGATCGAGGCGAGTACAAAGATAAACCCTGGCTATATAAGTCAGTGAAGACTGCTCTCCAGGATATCATCCCTCTCACCACAGCACCCGACGCTCTTTACTCCACACTCTTTATCCCACACTCTTTTGCAATCTCAAAGATGACACCACCCAAAGCAATCGCTCTCAGTCTGCTTCTCCTGAGCTCCTGGGCATCGGCGTCCGCCATACCCGTCCAAGCTCGTGCTGCGGCATCTTCCTCTGCCGTAGCTTCGGCCTCATCGGCCCAAGCAACTTGCGGATGGACATACTTCCTGAACGTCGACAACACTACCACCGACGATGACGACGCCGACGACGGGGAGGATGATTCGACCACTACCACCAGCAAGCGCGACGAGCACGAGCTGCACCAGCTCGCCCGTCGAGGCCGCACCACCAACAGCTACAACAACGGCAAGTGCGCTCTAGGGACGAAGATCTTCAAGCCGCAATACCCCGGGCCCGCGAGTCTGGAGTCGATGCAGGGAAGCGCATTCCTCGGATACTACATCCCCAAGCTGGACCAGTGCCCGGCCGGGGCGGTCACCTACGATGTGATCTCCGATAGTTCCGTGCTTACGGATACTGTTGCGGCGTACTGGGACTCGGCCAATGCGGGCACAGGCCAGAAGTACATCGCTCTTGGGGCCAAGGTCTCACCCACCGATTCGTACATCAACGTTGACCATGTTTGTAAGTGCCCCTGGGCAGGTCGTTCTACGCTGTCGACCGTGCAGTAAGCTAACCGAGACTCCCAGACGAGTTGAAGATTGTCGACAGCTTCTTTTCGGCCATGATTGCCAAGTACAACTTCTGTAACAGCTTCAAGACTTTCTTCCTCACCCAGGACACAGAACACCCGACGGCGAATGGAGTCAAGAGCCGACTCCAGCGGCTATACGGCATGGTGAGTGCTTCGCAGACTACATGGAAGAAGGCAGCGCTTGCTAATGCGCTGCGTGCAGCTGCCCAGTAACACCTATCTGGACTTCGTCGCCATGGACAACCAGCTGAACAGCATGAAGGCACCCGTAAGTCAATCGCAATGCACATTACCCCCGGCTTGTATATTGACAACTCTAGATGTTCGACGAGAACCTCAGCGGCATGCAGAGTCCGAAGGGCTCGACGAGCGAAGAGGAAGCCAACAACGCCCTCTCCATCATCAACACCATGGCCACGGTGATCTCGCTGCTCCGCGACAACAAGATCGCCGAGGTCTTCAAGACGACGAACAAGCGCATCTACGAGGCCTTCCTAGGAATTGACCAGCTCACCACGGGATGCAACGATCCGATCCCCGGCAAGGGCTGGGCCGACTCTTACTCGAGCTGGATGGAGGAGTTCCTCTCGACGCAGGCGACCTCGGTCTCCTCGCGGCTTGCCTCCATCTCGGGCCAGGTGACCCCCACCACCGACGCGTCCGGCCAGAAGAATGCCCTTGGACAGGGTCTGGATGCCTTCAACGCCAAGTACCCTGCCGCCTCGTGGACCTGGGATGCCAAGCAGCTGCTGGACTTTTCGGCGCCCAGTGCCATTGCGTTTGCTAAGCGTGGTGCTGAGAGCAGCGTCGCTGCCTGCACGCCTACCGCTTCGGTTTCTGCTTCGTCCAGTGTGGCGGTGGTTACGACCCATGCTGGATCCTCGGCTGTTGCGACGGGTGAGTTCTGTCCTGCACAACCCTACTTATACTGCTCCTGCTAATGCATCACCGACCACCCAGCCTCACACACGAGCAATATCGTGACCTCCAAGGCGACCACGCACACCCCAGAGAGCGAGATCTCGAAGACCGTGCATGCCTCAACGACAGTGAAGTCGGAGACCTCCAAGCCGGTGACTACCCAGACAATCGAGACACCAGTCACCACCAAGCACTCCACCACCACCACCACCGAGGTTGCCCCCAGCTCGTCAGTCACCACCACTTCGACCACCTCGTCGTCGCATACTTCGTCCTCGACTACCTCATCCTCGACTTCGACTACATCGTCCACCTCAGCTACTTCTTCCACGACTTCTTCCGCCCCGTCCAGTACCACAACCACCACGACCAGTTCGACCACTTCCACTACTTTGTCCACCACCACGACTACTTTGTCTACCACCACCACGACTACCACTACCTCCAGCAAGACTACCACCACCACTACCAAAACCACGACTATCACCGCCGCCGCGACCACCAAGGCGACCACGTGCAAGACGGCGTCCCAGTGCCCCAAATGTGGTCTTTTCTCGAAGGGCAAGTGCAGCGGAGGGTAAGTTCATCACCGGCTATTATCACTCCCAGAAGCAGAAGCTAAGTATATCCATCAGTGTGTGCAAATGCTAGCCGGATCTAAGGGATTTTCGACCCGATGAAGGGAGACTGCTAATTAAGACGGATGAACCCACCCCATTACATTCTTGTGGACATAAATAGGTAGACTTTCATGCCTGCCTGTGACAGCGTGTATTATTAGCTTATCTTCTCCACATTCCTTCTTCTAAAGAAACGGAGAGATCTTGAGGTAAACAACAACAGTATCAGTAGTATGTTGCTAGATCAGGCCTTCTCCGCGGCAATCTGTTTCTCCAGAATCACCCTCAACAGCCCCTCCACGTCCTCCTTCTCCATGGAGACCTCCACCCAGCGCAAGCCTGTCCCATTCTGGATGGCATCCTGCTGCAGCACCGCGTCCAGCTCTTCCCAGTTGTTGGCGGTGAAGCTGTTCCGGGCGCCGTGGCCGTCCTCCGCCCCGAAGAAGTCCGCCGCCAGGTGGTGCCGCCACCGGGCCACGTCGTTGTACGCCTGCTTCCGGCCGTGGATCGCCCGCTCGATCGTGTACCCCTCGTTGTTGAGCAGGAAGATCACCACGTCCAGCTTCTCGCGGATGATCGTGCTCAGTTCCTGGACGGTCATCTGCAGACTGCCGTCGCCGATGAAGAGGACGGCCCGCGTGGGCGTGTTCGGGTTCAACTCGCGTTGCGCCAGCGCCGCGCCCAGGGTGGCGGGTAGCATGTAGCCGATCGACAGCCAGGTGATGGCGCCGAACAGACGCGTGCCCGTCGGCAGCGTGAAGTCCCGGCCGCCGTAGCTGGCGGTGCCGGTCTCCGTGAGGACGACGTCGCCTGGGCGGAGGAGGGAGTTGACACGCCGGTAGAAGTGTTTCTGGGTGATGCGGCCGGTCGGCGGGAGGGATTCGGTGGGGATCACGGTCTTTTGGGGCGGATTGGTGGGCTTCGAGATGCGACCGAAGTCGAGGCTCTGCACTAGGCGCGTGACGAAGGCGGGCGACAGGTCGCGGTAGGTGTCGTCGCCAATGCGCACGGCCTTGTCGGTGAAGGTGATGGAGGTGGCGGGGTTGGGGAGGGTCTGGAAGCCTAATGTGTTAGTGTCGGTTGCGTGCAGCCCGAACTCGAGGATCAGGTCCGCCTGGTCGAAGTAGGTCTTGTGCTTGGGATCGCCCAGGCGGCCGGCGTAGTTGCCGTAGACGTTCGGTTGGTGTTCGTCCACTAGGCCTTTGCCGGAGACGGTCGTGAAGGTTGGCCAGGAGGTCTGGCGCACGAGATTGTTGATTTCATCCAGGATGCCAATGGCACGACTCTCGCCGTCGACAAGAATCAGAGGCTGTTTGGCCGTGTAAATCCGGTCGGCGATGCGGGTGAGGACGGTACTCTCTTGCGCAGTGGTCGGGGCAGCCGGACGCTGGATGTTGGTGGTAAGATTGGCGGCCGACACCAGTACGCCCGGCATGTCGTCCGGGATCTCGATGTAAACGGGACGGTTGTGGATCAGAGCTTGCTGCAGCACCGTGTCAATCTGCTCGGGCACGGTGCGAGGATCGTTGAGATTGGTCTGGGCAATAGTGACGTGGGCGTGCATGGCGGCAAAGCGGCGGTACTCGCCGTCGGCAAAGGTGTGATGCACCAGGGCGCGAGACTCCTGAGATGGCCGAGGAGGTGTGCCCACAATGTGGACTACAGGCGCTCGTTCTGCGTATGCGCCGGCAATCCCATTGATGGCGGACAATTCTCCGACTCCAAAAGTGGTGATCATGGCGGACAAGCCGGCCAAACGCGCGTATCCGTCGGCTGCATAGGCGGCGTTGAGCTCATTGCAAGTTCCGACCCAGTGTAGCCCCGAGGGTTCGACATAGTCCAGCAAGCGCAGGTTGTAGTCGCCGGGGACGCCGAAGATGGACTTGACCCCGAGCTGCTGTAGTCGGGTGAAGAGATAGTCCGCCAAGGTGACGGTTTCGCTATCGGATTTGGTCATGGTGAGGATATGATGGCGAGGTGTAAGATTGCTAGAGAAGAGGAGAAATGAAGGGGGAAGTGAGAGAGGGGAAGGAGGGGGTATGGAAGGACCTTAAATTGAGGCAAGTTGGAGATGAATGGAGTGAATGGAGAACAATGCCGATGGGCCGAAGCCACGCGATCTTATCGCCGATAACGAGGGGGAGGCGGAGGTTGAGCCCACCAAGATAACAACCAGTGGCTGAGAGAGTAGGCAATATACAGCCTATGAAGAGTAACCGGATATTTGTCACTTGCAAATAGTATTTCACTGGGGTGTTTCCAGGACTTCACATGGAATGGGTGGTGTTTTGACAAGGTGAAGATGGAAGATGGAAGATGGAAAATAGAGGCGAAAGCGTAACAACCGGGAGCTTCCCCGCTCAACCGCGGCAATTTCCCCATTAGAGCAGGCGGTAGCCAGCCTACGCTTATCGTCGTTCTTTATCGGTCCGCACTTGCTATCACGTGCTTTCTTCCTCTGACCGCGACTACCCGAGGCCACCCGTTCTGCCTACCGCTTTCCTTACCGCTTTCTCTACCGCCCTGAGAGTCTCCCATCCCTCTCTGGTTCTGCCGTGATAATCTTTCCCCCCTCACCTCCAAGATCTCCCTCAACACTACTTACTTACATTGCCACTCCTTCCATTCTGACGTGCTAGATGCAGATTGCTTAGCTGTCTAGCTGGCTTCATGCAGCCAAATTGAGACAGTGAAAACATCCAACCCCCTTTCCCCCCCCCCGCTATTGAGGTCATATCTCTTCAAGTGGGCAATCCTACTCCCTTCTCCCATCGACGCGTCGGCAATCGGGGAAAGACAAACTGCAGGACTCTGTGATGGACCATGCCAATCCCGGTCGGTACCAAAGTGATGTGCAGAGCTGATCCTGAGGTGGTCGATTCCTATGGTCAGCTGATCGGCGGAGAAGCGCCAACTACATGCTACTATGTACTATGCAGCGATTAATGCATGGGATCGCACTGCCGATCGAATCCTCAGCCCTCCTCGATTTCCGATCCGCTTAATCTCACAGCCTCGCAGCCTAGGCGATGACCTCGATGGACGAAAAACAACCATGATCAACAAACCTGATGAGGGGTTCAAAGAACAATCGTCTTGTTGCTTGTCTGTCATGCACTGCTAATTCCACTAAGGGGGACCACGTAGATAATCCATGCCTGAAATTAAGATGAGCTGCTAAGCTGCATGGTCTGGTCTGCGGGGTCATTTGGAGCTCTGGTGAATCACAGACAGCGTGCTCCCCTGCACGTCGAGTCAATGCGTCACAACTAGATGTACACTATGGGCGCGGTAGGATCGGCAACTGGGACAAAGAGACGGAGCTGAACTCGTCGAGTCGCAATGCAACATCGGTTTCGGAAACGGAAGTTCCGATTCTAGACCATGGAAGGGTGTCTTGGTTGTTGCGCCCTAGGAAATTTGAACGCACGAGGCGAGGTCTATAAGAAGGGCTCACATCTCGGGGCTTAGAGCACATCACAAAAATCAACTCCCAAGTTCTGCCAGACCTACAATCCGAACCCAAATCTCAACGTTCAACTCTCAAATACACACCATGTCTAACAAGGAAGAAGTCAAATGGGTATGCCTAGGCCTTCGTCACCTCTAACAAAGCAGCAGTTGACCGATCACGCAGGATGCCTACTACTCCTGGGGCTTTCTCCAGACTCTGATCGAGTTCTTTCAAGCTTCCGTATGTCTTTTCCCTCCCGCATCATTCTTGACAAGATTGCCCCGAATACTGACCACTGAATTTCACGCGAGCAGAAAGAGAAGAAGACGGGCACGTAGTGCTCTTCATACATGCCACAGCTGCAGCTAACCTTTCTGGGTAGGCAATTTCGACCTCGACCAGATCGCCAAGTATGTATTCAAGGGCGATAAAGAGGATGCCAAGAAGTTTCTCGAGGTCTGTGATGCCAACGCAGATGGCAAAGTGGACTTTGGCGGTAAGTCTTCCCATGTGATAATCAATCCCTTGCTGTATCTGTCGAAACGTCATGTTCTGACTGACATGGTCCAGAATTCCTTCAAGCCTTGCTGGACGAGGACGCCAAACAAAACTACAAGAACGCGCTAGTCTTGTATTATCCTTCGGATACCGCCTGAAGGCAGCGCGTATCCCAATTGTCAATTTTACCTGCTATATAACATCTCGAATGGGAGCACTTACGGGCTTGTGTGGCATTCTTAAGGTTGTTGCGTATGAGCCTGACCGTAGAGAAAACACTGCAACCTTTCAACTACCCATTAACCTGCCATTAGTTCGGTAGTAGAATCTCGTCCTACATCGAACATGTTTCTGTCGACACTTGCATGCTCCTGATAATGTATCCCTAGGCAGCGGTAGTCTAGTTGATCCTTCTTCCATTTATTTACTAATCTTCATCTATCTCTCTCTCTCCCTCTTCTCTGGATGGACCATTTTGTGACTAACTAAGAAATTATAACTTGTCCCCGAAATTAGCTACGAGACTGTCCAAGAGAGTATGGGACGTGCTTAGAAGAATTCTCTCAATGTACAACGAAGATTACCATGACACTTGCTTACTGAAACCCAACGACATCAAACCTCCTCCCGTTCGCTGGCAGTGCTCGAGTTGGTCAAGCGGGAGCTGTCGATGCGGATCACCGTGGTGGAGTGGATGCTCGGCTTTTGCTCCATACTCTTCGTCTTTGACCGGTCAGAGGAGGGCAAGGAGAAGGCATTCTTGCGCCAGGACAGATTCTTGCTCCACTCGGGCCGGGGCAGCATGGTGAAGAGGGGCCGCATGTTGGAGAGGCAGGCGGCGGTGATCCCCATCATGGGCTCGATACACGTCCAGACACTTGCAGTGACTTGGTCATCTGTTACCTGGTTAGTAGGGGATAGAGGTGTTGGGATTCCATTAGAGGGGATGGGGGGTAGCTGACAGGTGATATCGCCTCCTGCCTCCGAAAGCTGGATCATCACCACCAGCCGCACGATGTCGAAGGCAAGGGTTCTGCAGGGGTCAGTTCTGGTGCCGCGCAGGAAGATATAAGATGACGTACGTGGTACCAATCAGGAAAATGCCCGACAGCATGACTTTCTGCGATCGAGGGACTTGCAGGTTCCAGACGGCTTTCATCGGCAACACGAGAATGATTGCGTCAGTCAGGATGTTGGGGATTTGAAGACCGTAGTAGAATTGGGCCAGGTTGATGCAGCCTCCCGGGAGATTGGGCTCCCACAGCTTCTTGAAAGGCATGCAGGTCACTGCCCCGATGAGGCAAACCCCAAAACACCAGAGAATCACGATGCATGCGACCACGTTCGAGGCTTGCATCATCGGACGAATGGAGAAGATTCGTTTGTAGAGCGCGAGGATGGAGAGTTTCACAAAGGTGATGCACAAGGTGTACAGGAATGTGCCGGTCGATAAGGTCTATTGACATTTTGGTCAGCGCGTTGATTCAGATCATGTCATAACAAGGGGAATGACCTTCATGTAGACCACGAGTTGGTCCGGAGATACGTAGATGATGTGGGTTCCCAAGCCGTTGTACAGAACTAGTTCCACATCAGCAAGCATTCCAACTGGAAATCCCACCTTATCGACATACGAACGACCCCTGCGACCGTAATACCATATTCGAAGACCTGGAGATAGTTGCTGGTCAGCATTAGGGAGATAAGGCCGCTGTTGACCCTTGATTACTCACCAAGGCAACAATCATGAGGTAGTCATCCAAGAAGACCTTGGTGCGAGTGATACGCCGACACCACAGACGCAAGGCCACAGCCAGAGTTGAGACTACCAGCGCGAAACAACTGGCTGTGATCACCACATGCCGCAGGTTATCATGGTCGTATCCCTTCTCTCCCTGCGCAAGTGCACTTTTCATGATGTGGAGTCAGATATGGAGGATGAAGCGACAGTCAAGCAACAGGACGCGAAGCAGCACAGTAGACCCCGGGCGTGTCAGGGGCCTGCTGGACATTAAAGTATGGGCAGGCGTGGTATGACCGACTCCTCACTGTGGTGTGGTGAGCTCGCTTAGATCGAAACCTGCTTCTTGCAAGTTGATATCATTTCCAGGCAGTCGCAAAGTCACGACAGCCATTGCTCCGCAATGCAATGATTATCTGGCGATAAGTACCGCCACCATAGCTCGACAGGAGGGATTGATCACGCCGATGCGGTCACTGCTGCGGCATACAGGGCTGTCATGCTATGATCTGTCAGGAATATAATCTACCTGGAACTCCTTGCCGAAACTAAATGCAGTCGATTCCCGCCGAGGATCGGCGATCCCAGCACTGCATCGGGTTTGCGCATACGGATATATCAGATTCTGCGAGAAGAGACGCAACGGGACCGATCATCACGATAAACCAATCAATCGCGATGATCGCAGGGCGTGCACTTGTCAGCGATATTGCACCCTGAGCGTGGTGAGTTGAGACTCGCTTGAACATGTAGAGCCAATGACTTTTCCTACCCATCCAGTTAGGGTTCCCTTTCCCCCGCGTTTAAAACCTATCTACTCTAAAGAAAGCTCCTCCGGAATGTACAGTAATCGTATAGATCATCGTGGCACAACCCCTGCATGGGACTTGACGGCTGCCCTGAGACTCTTCACGTCCATTCATCTCCAATGTGGCAGTTTCATGCAAGGGATGGCCGACTGACTGGCGTTTCCTGGAATTCATTGTCGAGGTTGGCACCTGTTCCTGGCATGATCGCCCATTCTTATTTCAACAGTACTGAAACAGGAAAAGGGGAAGGAAGATAGTTCCGAGAAGCAGCTGTGAATTGGTGCTTTGCTTGCTATTATCGAGCTGGGGGGTGAGGTTCTTCACTCTTTCCTGGAAGCTGATCTGAACTCCTTCCAAGACGGAGATCCAGTCCATCATGGATGGATCACACGTCTCTACCCCCTATTGCCACATCTAGAAATCTTTTCGATGGCCAGCTCGACCAGTTTTCCCCAGTTCTCCCCGTCGGATTCCCAGCTGTGTGGTTCGATGGGCTGATCGTTTGCGTCAACAGTTGACCGAACTTTCGACTTTGTAGAACATGAACGACTGCAGCAGAAAGATCGTGTTGCCGACCGAAACGAATCAGGTTTTGAGACTGCATTCCTCCCCAGAACTGGCGTCAACAGGAAACTGCTTTCAAGCATGAATGTTTTTGTGACAATCAAGACACAAACAGCCCAGTTTCAGCGCCGGGTCTCTGGAGCATTGAGTTGCCAAGAAGGCTCATGACAGACGAAAAGAAATGTCCCCTGGCCAGGTTTTCAAGCACGGTCCAGCATTCGCACCTCTTCGGGCTCCCTCCAGGTCCCCGGGGTGTTAGATATCTCCAGAACATGGGGCTCTTGCTTGGAAATACACGGGATGTGAACCATGGGTGTTCGTGAGATCGAACCCGACGACATGCGCCTTCGTCGTCACCACCCAAACTCTGATCCAAAAAATATCTTTCACCTGGTGCCTTTTCCACGATATCTTACTAGATCAGGCAAGAGATCTTGTTTAGCAGAAACTCAGAGGGCTACAGCCCGCCTCGCTGGAGTGAATTTATGATCCCTGAGATGCCACTCCAGCTCGTTCCCCAAACCTCAATCGCAAGACGACAGCGAGAGACACCCACCCACATACGAGATGACCGGCGAGAATGATTCAGTGAAGTCCACTTCGGCCAATTGGCCCTGCACCTTGCCACTATTTGATTTCAGTCAAGTCCCTACGCGGCGGCTGCTACCGGAATATCCCACACATGAAGCTCAGATCTTCCTACCCAGTGGAACGGTGGCTGCCTTCCGTTCTCTGGTGCGCCAGATGGGTGCTACCGAGTTCCATGGTCACTTAGCGATACTGCAAGCCCTTCTGGCACGGCTCCTGGACATCCGCGAGGGCTGCATCGGAGTCGCAGAGCCTCAACGTGGAGGGCGAAAAGAAGTCCAACCGCTTCCCCATTGCTTCAACATCGCACCCCAAGACACAGTTACCGAGGTCATCCACCGAGCCTGTCAGACTACCCTGGAAGCCCTGAAGTATGGGCCTGGGAGGGTGAACGATCTTCTCTGCCTCTATTCAAGGACACACTCGACTCCTGAACACCCACTTTTTCAGCTGCAACTGATCTATCAAGATCACCATGCTGGCAACCTCTCTAATATTTCTATCCAAGGTGATGCTGCAGCTCCCTGCGATCTCGTTTCATACCTGACCCGGCAGCCTGATGGAACTGCCAGCATCACCCTTCGCTCCCCAACGTATTTGTACTCACACGAAAGTCTACATTTCCTCCTACGAGCTTACATGCGCCTCTTCGAGTCTTGTGTAAGAGATCCGCAGATGCCAATTGCACAGCAGCGTTTATATGACGAGAACGACGTGATGGCCGGGCTGATTTTCGGGAGAGGGCCCCGTCTGGATATCACCGATCCGGCCACAATTTCGAAGCGAATCGAGCAAATGTCGATCGCGAGGCCTGGAGTGGTTGCCGTCAAGGATGCGGACGGGAACAGCTTCACATACAAGCAGATGCAGCAGCACATTCAACGCGCAGCAGCTGTCCTTCGCATGAAAGGGGTTCAAGCCCAGGGCTATGTCGCCGTATGTTGCGAACCGACCCTACATTCCGTCTGTCATCTCTTGGCGATATGGCGCATCAATGCCATATATGTACCGCTCGATCCGCAGAATCCCTTCTCTCGACTCCAACTGATTTTGGACGACTGCCAACCCGCGGCGATCATATACCACGCCCCAACTGAATCGGTCATCCGGCGACTGAATCTCCATTCAAGTACTCCGGTCTCCATCGCCGAGATTGGCCGTGCCCAGACCCAGGCGTCTCCGGACTTGTCCCAGTGCGAATCTGCAGCTTGTGTTCTTTATACTAGCGGATCCACCGGAACTCCTAAGGGAATCCTGCTCACGCATGCCAATCTGCTGCATCAGATCCTGGGGGTGCGCCATCGGTTTCAGATCGGCTGTGAAACTGCGCTCCAACAAAGCTCACTTGGATTCGATGTCTCTCTCGATCAGATGCTTCAGCCTCTGGTGGGGGGCGGCTCATTGATTGTTGCCCCGCGCCGTCTACGTGGAGATGCTATTGCGCTCTCTCGGCTGATGCTGGCCGAGAACGTCACCTACACTTACGCCACACCGTCGGAGTATATGATGTTGTTGCGGTACGGATCGGATGCTCTGCACCAGCTGTCCTCCTGGAAAATTGCCTTTGTGGGAGGTGAAGCCTTGCCACGACATCTCATTGAGTTACTCCACGCCCTGCGGCGACCTGGCTTGCGGCTCATCAATCGGTATGGACCAACCGAGATCTCGATTTCGAGCTCATGTCTTGCGATCGATACTTGCGATCCTGCCTGCATCGATCTGCAACCCATCAGTGTCGGGTGGACCCTGCCCAACTACTCGACATATATCATCGACCTCGATGGTGCGCCACTGCCCGTAGGGTTCACTGGGGAGATTGTCGTCAGTGGTCCGGGAGTTGCCAGGGGGTATCTACACAAAGATGCCCTGACCAAGCAGAGATTCCGACCGGATCCTTTCGCGGACTCCCCAGACAAGAGTCGCGGTTGCACCATGTATCGAACCGGTGATAAAGGCCGTCTGCGCCCTACTGGGGAGCTTGTGTATCTCGGGCGCATCGACGGTGATCACCAAGTCAAGCTGCGTGGCTACCGCATCGAACTTGACGACATTGCCAGCACGATTCTGAAGTCTGCAGAAGGACGGCTTGCCGAGGCCGTGGTCTCTGTGCGCGGCTTGCAGGACGCCGAAGGGGATCGTCGCTTTCTGACCGCGTTTGTCGTCCCTGTCTGCGCGCAGGAACTCGCGGCCGTGAACGAAATGCTGCAGTTCCTCGACGAGCTCGTTGCCAACCTTCCACTGCCGCCGTACATGCTACCTCAAGTCATCGTCCCAGTCGATGGCCTGCCCCGAAGCCCCAATGGCAAGCTAGATCGACGGACAGTCGACCAACTACCATTGCCCTCCAAGAGGCAGCATGCCATGTCTCCCACGATTTCAGATTCTGAACGCTTCGTCATCTGGATCTGGGAGCAGTGCTTGGATCAAGCCGCCCAGACGGCCGTCTGGAGTTCCACGACGGACTTTTTCCAGGCTGGGGGAAACTCCTTGTTGATGGTGAAGGTGCAAGCTTTCTTCCAGCAACACCTGAAGCGATCGGTCCCTTTGTCCACGCTTTTCCAGTCCAGCACGATAGAAGACATGGCCGCGTTGCTGACCGGTGCGCCAACTCCGCCACCCGAGTCCAACATCGATTGGGAGCAGGAAACCCTGCCCGGGCTGGAAGAGAAGTACATCTGCGACGGGAGGAGCCCCCAACTCAGCCCTCTCCACGCAGAGGGAGGCATCGAGGTGTGTCTGACCGGCGCAACAGGGTTTCTCGGCTCTGCACTCCTGCGATGCCTGGCGGCGGACCCTCGCGTGGCCCGCATTCATTGCATCCATCGCCTTACGCCGCCGTCGGTCGCATCCGCCGCGGGCACGGCCAAGGTGGTCCGCTACAGGGGGGATCTCACAGCGCCCAGACTGGGTCTCGACCGGGTGTGTTGGCAGGAGCTGGCATCGCGAGTCGATCTGATCATCCACAACGGCGCCGACGTCTCGTTCCTGAAGTCGTACCGGTCCCTACACCCGGCCAACGTGCAGTCCACCCGCCACCTCGCCTGCATGGCCCTCCGGCGTCAAATCACGCTCCACTTCGTCTCCACGGCCGATGTGGCCCAGTTGACCGACCTGGACTCCCTACCCCCTCGGTCGGTGGCGCACTGCCTGCCTCCCGCGGATGGCGCAGACAGCGGCTACGTGGCTTCGAAGTGGGCGAGCGAGGTCTATCTGGAGAAGTGCGCGGCTCGGTTCCAGCTCCCCTGCGCCATCCATCGGCCGACCAACATCGTCGGTGAAGGCATGCACGGCACCGATTTCATGCAGGGTCTCATCCAGTGGTCCTTGCGCACACTCCAGCTCCCAGCCCTCCCCCACTGGACGGGCTTCTTCGACTTTGTGTCCGTCACGGACGTGGCGATGGAGATCACGCAGGCCGCTTTGCGGAGCCCGGAGGACCGACGCAAACGCCCCGAGATGAATGAGTCGCCCACCTTCCATCATCACGCCAGCACCACCCCGGTACCCGTGGCTCGGTTTCGGGAGTTCCTGGAAGAACGCTTCCGTGCGCCCCTGCGGACGGTGGACGCAGATACTTGGTTAAAGCAAGCGCGTAAAGAAGGCTTGTCCGGTCTACTGGAGAGCGTGGTGGCTGCGACGCTCACGGACCCTAAACCACATCGTATGCCTCGCATGCTGCGCGAGTAATTGGGTTCGTATCCGTACTGGAGGGCCGTGTAAGAAATTTTGGAAGAAGAAAAGTGTATTTGTCTAGAAAATGTCAACGCTGGTTAGGGAGGTGGTGCTTGCTGTACAATTGCGACCGTGATTTCTACAGATTCGGCATGCGAAGACCCATTCATTCCCCGATGTCTGGCCGTCTTGTTTGTCTCGTTCGTCATTCGTGTCATGTCCACCATTCAGGATCTACAAGCGCGCCCGTTCCTCGGGCGTCAAGCGACGGCGAGGCGGTCCACCGCGACTGCCGTCTCCCGAGGCGATGGGTTGAGGCGCCACAGGCCACGCCCATTTCTGGCGCTGCTCCGCCGACGCAGTCAGCTCCAGGCTGTCGGCGACGTAGCGGCCCAGGACGGGGAGGAACTTGAAGGCACTGTTGGTGATGGTGGTGATTAGCAGCTGAGTTCCTCATCCGGGATTATACTGGCTGTGGGTGTTCCGGGAGCGCTCAAGGGTTAGGAGAGATACGTACTGGCCACTTCCGCCCGTCGCGACGAACAAACCCTCATAGTCGGGGTGGTAGTCGACGATGAAGTCGCCCTTGGGGGTGTCGCTGTACCAGCACAGTCGGCGCTGGACGAAGGGCCGGTCCTTGAACCGGGGCAGCCACAGCTCCAGGCCCTCGCGCAGCGCCTTCTCGGCATCCGGGGGCAGGTAGCCGCCCTGGCGGGCCAGCGTCGGGGCCGAGTAGGCGCTCGGGTTCTGCGGCTTGGCCTCGTTGGTGCGCTCGTAGCCGAACCCGTGGCGCGCGATCTTCAGCAGGTGGGTCCCCGGCGTCGGGGGGAAGGTGAACCACCCGGTGCTCAGGTCCAGGATCACGGGGCAGCGGTTGTTGTCGAGCTCGCGGGCCTCGTCGGCCGTGAGCTGCAGGAAGGCCACGGGCTGGGCGACCGAGACGGAGCGGCCGGTCATCTCCAGTAGATGCGGGGTCCAGGCGCCCGTCGACACCATGACCAGGTCGGCGGCGATGCTCTCGCCGCTGGCCGTGCGCACGCCGGTCACCCGCTTCTTGCCGGTCGTCGCGGGGGTGGTCTGCGTCAGGAAGTCGGTGACGGTACCCTGGGGCCCGGCGCGGAACGAGACGCCGGCCCGCGTGCAGTTGCGCGCCAGGTGGCCGATGCTGAGCTCGGCGTTGGCCCAGCCGGAGTCCATGTTGACATAGCCGCTGGCCTGCGAGAGATCGCCGTGGATGCCGGGGTACTGCTGGCGGATCTCGGCGCCCTGGAAGGACAGGAGATTGGCGGCCTTGCCGCCCAGCTGCTCCATGTTCTGCTTCGACTGGGCGATGTACTCGTGCTCGCCGCTGCCTTGCGTCTGCGTGCACATCAGGCCGCTCTGGTAGAAGTACGGGGCGTACTCGCCGTGCCAGCCGTTCTGCAGGGCGTCCAGCGCCATGCGGGCGTAGAAGACATCGGCATAGTCGGCGCGGATGATGCGCGAGACGTCGACACTGGAGCCATCGGGCACCGGGGCCAGATGCCGGTCCAAGACGGTGATGTTGGTGTAACCCCGACGCGTCAATTCCAGGGCTGTGGACAGACCGAAGACGCCTGCGCCGACAATCACAATCGCGGCCGATTTGGAAGGAGGGATAGCCATTATTCGGGATAGAATGGGAGAATGATCAAGTGTGCTTGTCTCTGAAGGCGAGGATCATCCAGGAAGGGCACTGTATTATATAGACAGGCTGGAGGGCGTGGCATGTTGCCAGAAACGGGAGAATTTTTCAGGTCCGAAGGTCGGCCACATCGAAAGCTTGGCGGGAGGAGTGGGCACGGCATTATTGTCATCAATGCAATCCGTCCCCACTCCTACACCGGCCCGGCTGGGAAGAATGCGGAGGGCCCCCATTCTGTACGTAAATAAAATAAAATAAAATAATATGCTTACAACTCCCCGTGGCAGTCGGAAGGCAGCTGCGATGGACCCTGGCCGAAGTATGGTACATCAAGCAGACTGAAAAAATCGCTGTTCATCCACTCCGACGACGAAGCCAGCACTTCATCCTCGCCTCCCAGTGAGACCCGGTTCGGTGGGGACTCGCGCAACGGCACCAGGTATTGCGTGGCGATCTGCTGGCCACCAGGCACAAATGCTAGATGGGACTCCTCCACACTGCTATGAGGTGAGTTCGGGTCCAGCAAATCCCACATCGCCGACCATTTGAAAGGTGGAATGCTGCTCGCGCCAGCGCTGTGTCCCGACAGACTTTGCAGATACGCAAGCTTGTCTACCTATTCAACTAAATTAGAAAAGAAAAAAAAAGAAAAAAAAAAAAAGAATAAGAAATCTCACCATTCCAGCAATGTGTGGCCATCGGGTCGCTAGATCTGTCAGAAAGCGTTGGCACTGCTCGAAATCCTCCCGTGCCCGGTCGGCGATGGCTTTCTCACTCGCAAACTGGAACATCCAGTGGATAGACGCAGCGGTCGCCACAAGTTGAGCCAGAAACGGGTCGTTGATCTCAATCCCATGCTTCTCCCACGTTCGGATCAAGCGCGTGGGCCAACCCGAGTGAAGCAGGGCTTGGTCTATGGTTTGTTGGAGGAAGGATGGCGGTTGGAACTTGGACGATGCACGTCGCACATGAGTGACATGGAACAGAGGATGATGCAAGAGGGCTTGGCCCGCGTGGAATGCCACCTGCAAATAAAGCCAGGCCGTCCAGTACTCCTTGTGCTGCAGCAGTTCGCTGGGGGTGATGGTGTGGAAGCCGACGTTCCGATATCGGTGCAGCTGCGAGATCCCCGTCTCGAACTCGTAATACTGCGCAACCAGCGTGTGATGGCGCGAGGAGGCGATCCAGGGGTCATCGGTTGGATTAGCCAGGCGCTGTCGCAGGTACCCCAGAACTTCATACCACAGCCCAGTCACTTGGAGGCAGTAGGCCTGTATTCCCAGGTCTGCAGCACTGCTGGCAAAGGCATTAGGCGCAGAGCCGTCGTCGTTCGCCATGAGGGAGCGGGGCCGTGGGGGGCTGACAGGATGCCCTACTCGTCCCAGCGGGTAGCTGTCGATCTGCAAGAGACTCGGGCCGGGGGCGAAGACTCTCTCAAGAATAAACACACTCCAGCAACATCGCCTCTGATCATCTCGCGTCGACGCATATTCCGTAGCAGACCCTGCGCCGGCGGGGGACACACAAAGGACCAATCTAGCCGCGATCCCAGCATCCATCCAGACTCGTGCGTGTCGGCCAGCTAAGGAAGTCAGCATGGCTCGTTAGTTCAGGTCACACAGAGGACCTCACCAGCAACATCGCTCAAGGTCATAAGGCACAATGCTTGCAATACTGGCACCGATGGGGTGCCTTCCGCAGCCAGTTGAATGACTGTGGGACGAGCGGAACGGAGGTACAGCTCGATGGCTTGCGCTTTCGCGTCACCGTAGAAAGGTAGCTCCACGAAGAGCAAGGTGAGCGCCAAGAAGGCTTGCAGGAGGAAGTCGGGATAGTGTCGGATCTGAGCGGAGAGTCTCTCTTTGTCGAAGAGAGGAAGCGGTTGGCTATGTACCCTCTCTGTGTACACGTTCACTAGCTGAGCCAGGGCTTCTGGTGGTGGATACAGGCTGTTCCGAGAATTGACTTGGGTTTCAGGATTCGAAGTAGAAGAATCAAGGGGAACCAATTAGACGTACCATCGGGATGGGTCGAAAGACTGGACCTGTGAGATACCGGGGGTAGACGCTGAGGTTGCTGTTTGGCTCTGCAAGATCCTGTGCAGAAATGGTTGAGCCTGTGGGGAAGGCATGGCGTCTTGTGGTGCACGATCCGTCAGGGTCCTGTTTCCACATGGTCATTTAGCCAGGCAGGCGAAGACTCGAGCCAACCACGTACTGAAAGAATCCATCGATGCGTTCCAGACGCGATTCTAGCCGTCGAAGCCGCTCCCGCGTCTCTTGTCTGGACTGTAGCATGTAGAATGTCAGAGTCTATTAGATAGTGTCAAGGGAGACGCTTACCTCGGACGAACGAGTGGGTGGGTCACTACTCCGCCCGTACGTGCATCTCTGATTCAGACGTCGACAGAAGGAACATATTGGTCTTTCGCCAGGACATTTGGTCTTCTTTTTCCTACCGACACCGGGGGGTGAGTTATGAATGAGGTCATCCCAATGGAAGTGCCGGGAGTCTTACCGACAAGGTTCACAAGCCTGCCGGGCGCGGAGAGGACTAGCCATAACTGGGGCGGCGATGAAGAAATATCAAGGGCTAGAAGGGGAATGAATGTCTGGTGAACAGGAGAAACGATTCTGCTGGAATGAAACTTCGCCTGCCCAGTGAACTGCCTAGGCAAGGTACACCTGCGCCTGTGAAGCATGGGGGATTGCGACAGCCAATGGCAGGAGGAACCGTCTTCCGCTCATGTGACAGCTCCCGTCCTAATCAGAGAATTTGAGTCCCGCTCACGTGCCCGGCTCACCATCGAGAGGGACAAAAAAGCAATTTGTTTGAAGAAGGGGGGAAGGATCATGTGGATTGGGGAACAATTTACTACTAAGCATTGGGGCAGGCTTTGGCCAAAAAGCAGAGGATAAAAAAGAAATGACGTCCTAGGAGAGGATCGAACTCTCAACCTCACGATTAACAGTCGTACGCGCTAACCAATTGCGCCACCAAGACGTGCTTGTGTCATGGTGACTCAAACCAAAAAATATCAACCACAAATTAGGTGGTGTAGTCATTCACCCATGGCACTTTCCATAACTCATACTTCTAAGGCTATTGTCAGTTCACCGTGCAAAAGGCAATTCTACCTAAGCCTTGATTTTCATATTGACGATACCATTGCTCTTGCGGTCCTAAAAAGTAGGTATCGAGGGTACAACGCCACTCAAATCTCCCTTCCCTCTTCCAGACAGGATTGTTTGTGGTGATGTGCGATCTCTTCTTGACATATATTCAAAAGCATCCAGTTGCCAGCTCCTGACATCGCCCATAATTCCAACCACCGCACACATTACTAAATCCGAAAGTAAATCACCAGATGAGCGCTTGCCTTCTTAGTCCGCATTCGAATTTGAAATGGGTCCAACCAGCATAAGGTACATGTCACGAGCTTGGTTCTATGCAGAGCCTCTTGCAATTTGGAGCCCAGTATGCATCTTCTCTCAACCAGTAGCCTACAAAAGACAATACATATCGCCATTTGTTTGCTGGGGCAGAGCCACAGAGACCGAGTCTGCCTACCGTGCACTCCGCATTGCTAACACGACTGATGTATATGCATGTCAACTTCAACTCAAATTCCGACGAACGGCGCTATCACGAGGTCCACAGAAGCCCATGCATCGATGTAACGACACGACAAGAATCCCAGAGAAGCATGATTGTCCTCGACAAACATCGCGAAGTCGAGCTGAGGACAACAAAGCATCAAGAACAGGACCGCCAAACCCTCGTGTGATCATTCTGAGTCTCAGCTGCGTTCAGCCTGATTCAGGTGCTCTCTAGCTGATCCAAAGGCAGTCGCTGGAAGGAATATCCGACCGATATGAATATAAAGCAGAACATTCAGCCATGATGGTAGTGTCATTGAGATCAAGCACAGGTGCAGCAACGACACAAATTACCACTTATTACCATCTCACACTACCCCACCCACCCTATCGCCCAGAATGAGGATCTCCCCCGTCTCAATCAGCTTCATCATCCTCGCTGCCATGGGTGTGGCTGCTACCCCGCTCAACCATGCCGAGTCAGTCGGCGTGCGAAGCGAGAACAACGTTCAGGTCAAATACGATGGAGTCAGTATTCCACGGCGTAGTCGCGAGCGAAGAAAATCAAGACTGATTCGTTGACTCCGGCGTAGCAATGCCGGAAGAGTGAAAATCAATGCCGGTACACCGCGCAAAGTGGAAGGACTGCTATCTGCAAGTGCCAATTCCGAAAGGTGAGCCCACCTTGTCCAAGCTCGGTAGTATCTGTTGACTGAGTCTCTTGTAGTGCAGTAAGGACGGCGCCAAGTGCAATTTCGACTCCTACAATAGGGATTGCAACTGCTACTAGTGGGTTGCGCATGGCTGGCTCTGGGCGAAGTTAATGTGTGTCCTGTGGAGCCGTACGGAGTCGCGACGTCGGACTTCTCAGTTAGTGGGAGGGATGGAAGTCACAGATTGTTACTACTAATTATCTGCTGTCGGAAATCTCTGCTCTATCTCTTAGTCTGAAGAAACGAGTGTTTCAACTTCCACCGAAGATGATGGTAGTCGAGCTCAGAGCATGTAGACCGTAGTGATAGCTGTACGTTGACTATTGGTGCAAGCTGCGCTATAATCCCTCGACAGGCAGTGATAAGAAATAGGTACTCGCATCTCACCACGACACTACCGCTATTCATGATCAATCCTCTCCAAGCAGAGGCCTCTCAGGCTCATCCTCACGTGCCTCGATGTCTCCCTCTTCAGCTGGCATCTCCGAAGCCCAGAACTCGGGCCACTTGACCCGGATAAAGTCGTCGGGTGCGGCCTTGTACGCTCGAGAAACGGGACTATCCCGATATTCGAGCGGGTTGAGCATCAGCTCCAGGGTGACCCAGGCCTCTTCGGCGAGTTTCGTCTCCTGGGCCTGGGTTGCCTGCTCGTGGATCTGATCCACTCTCTTGATCCAGAACAGCCATCGCCCTGCACTAAGGCCCGCAGGAGCCTTGCGACTGAGCTCCGTGGCCTGAAGAAACAAGGGACCGCCACGGCCCAGCGAGGCATCGCACTTATTCCACGACACATCACACAGGTTGATCATTCTCCGTCCACACTCAAAGAGCCACGCGCGGATGGCGGGGAGGAAAGCGGCAATGGGCAGGTCGGACAGTGTCTGAGCAGGCCTGGAGGAGTCCGGTGCGGGATCGAGACTTCCCAGTGGACGGTCGGTCTCCAACGCCTCGCGGAAGGCCAACAGACCGACCTCGGTGAGTCGATCTTGCAGCACCCCGGTGGATGCGACTTTGGCCACAAAGTAGGTGAAGTTGAGTCGATGGTCGGCCTTCATCGTGGGAAAGTGCTGGATGAAGTACGCGGTCGTGTCCTCAAGGAAGAAGGGCACATCGCGCCACAAGACCGCTCCTGTCGGGCTTTGAGCCACCTCGAACTCGTGGTCACTGTCCTGCACCAGTCGCTGTAACGGTCCGGACAGCTGAAACCGAGTGAAGTCCAAGACTATCCGATCATGTTCCGGCGTCTCGTGGGAGATGTTACGCGCCCAGACATGGAATGCGAACCAGAGATCACGAATGGCTGGTTCCAGCTCCTGGAAGGACTCCCCTTGCCAGAATCTATCGGTGATGCTGTAGTATCGATTGTAGACGGAGCCGCGCAGCTCCGCCAGATGCCCGCGTCGCACGTCTGCAAGCAGAGACTCGCGATACTCGATGGAGGCCTGAGCGCTCGAGTACTCGCTGTCGTTTGGCTCGCTCGGGGGCCCCATTGGAGAATCAGACATGATACACAAGGATGTTCAGGAGGTCTGTAGGGCGGGGATTGTGCCTGATGGTTGCAGGTGTAGCAGCTGAGCAACGCCGCTTTTATATAAATACAGCACACTCATCAAGTATAGCTTTAGGCAGCCATGGATGGCCCGGCTTATCAAAGGGTTTGGGATGAACAAAGGGTACTGAATTCACCGCTCTTCGGCCAAGTCATGGAGTTGAAATCCCCTGTCAAATCCTCCAACTCATATGGTGCCAAGCCAGGAGAGTGACATCGTCTCGTCCTTGGGTTCGTAGCTCATCCAGGCCGGTTGGCGAGGCTGGAGAGCAAACATTTGTCGGTGTGAGCGCTGAAACCCTGAAATAGATGGTCTTTGCTAGTGCATAGAGTTCAGCTAGGATATGATGCCAGGAGACCCGTGTAAAACTGGAGTGACAGCCAGCTGTGCTAACTTCTAAATATCACATTCCCTCTCTTTGTTCCCTGGAGAGTTGACGAGCGAAGCCGGCAGATCCTCACCGCCTTTGGGTGCCTTCCTCGGCAATTTCATTCTTCCGTGCCGTTGTAAACAAGCAAAAGAACTACTAACTTATAGCCTTGAGAGTCTAGTTCTATCATGTTATGCACTATGTACAGTCCCTACAAAGCCAGCCGCTGCTTCGACAACAAGATCGACGTGTCCGTCGTCGCCCCATCGATGAAGTCGTTCATGATCACAATCGTCCGCTCCGCCTGCAGTCGCTCCAGCGCGTTCTCTCGAATCCACGGGAGGGTCCGCGTATCCAACGCGGCCTTGGTCGAGGTCAAACACGACGACACCGCGCCCGCCTCCACCACGCTATAGATCATCACCTCCTTGATCGACTGCGAGGTGGCCTGGCACTGCAGCACCGTCAGGTCACTGCTCTCCTGCCCCTCGGTGGTCATCCCCTCGAACCGCGCGAGAATCGAGTCCGCACTCAACGTCGCGTACGCCTCCGCCGTCCAGCTGTCGTACTTGTCCGCCTCGATCACACAAATCAGCCGCTTGCCAGTGCTCCGGAGCTCGTCGATCGGCTGGCTGAAACACTCGCGGCCGCCCCAGGTCAGCGGCTGCACGGCGGTCGTGGCACACGCATCGGTCAGCAGCTGCCCGATCTGCTCCTCGGTGGGTCGCTCGCAGTCGGCCACGATGTTGTCCCACCGGATATGGATGGTCACGATCTCGGTTGGGTTCTCATCCAGGAATGCCACCTGCGCGCGGAGGAAGGCGTCGAAGGCCAGCCCCGGGATACACGCGTGCTGGAAGTAATACGTGTCTGGGAGGGAGGAGATCTTCTGGAAGATGGGCAGGAGCTTGGCCGGTCGGAACTCGAAGTATCGGGCGCCCATGTTCAGCATCACGGCGATCTCCTTCTTCTGAGTGATGGCCAAGCCGTAGACGATGTGCGGCAGCTTCTCCATGAGGAATCCGTCGGGGATGTGCCGGATGTGGGCGAGCATCGGCACGAGCTCCCGCACGGCTGCGAGCATGTCCCCGTCCAGATGCTGGAACACCGCGTCGCAGCTGTCCATGCTGTTCATGCCGTTGTCATGCGGGGCTGCGAGGGCGAAGCGGGAGAAGGGCTTCTGCGCCTCCATGGATCCGACCGGCGCCAGATCGCCCATCCAAGCGCGGTTGTCCGTCGAGCAGATGGTCACGTAGCACTGATCCCGCTTCGTCAGGCCGACCTCCCCGCGCCCCGCGTTGTAGAAGCCGTACGTGATGATGGCATCCTCCAGCACGATGGGGTGGAAGTCCTGGGTGGACACCATCTCCCCGCCGGTGAGCTTGCCCGTCAGGGTACTGATGTCATTGTAGGCGCTGGCGACGACTTCCCCGTAGCGGAAGACCTTCCATTCCAACCGACCGGTAAAGTTGTTCGCCCCGGGGATGTTGGCGGAGTCGAGTTCCAAGCGACGCGGGGTGAAATTCTGGGCCGACGTGTGTAGGACATCCTCTCCCGGGACGGAGAATCCCACCTCGTAGCCCTCGACGGCGGGGGAGATGTAGCTGTAGACTGAAATCCCTTTGCTTGGCATATTTGCTTATCTAGTGGCCCAGACCGGAAACGCAGGCGGCGATGATGCGAGCTGCATGATGGATGATGGCTGGGAACTTGGGATACGTGGACACAACGCTCCAGCTCCACTTGTGCACCGAAACACTTACCCCGACCGGGCTTAATGAGGGTGAACTAAGGTGGGCTAAGGGGGGCTAGCATCGACTAGCATCGCCTGATCGAACTAACGCATTGCAGTGAAGATATTCCCACTCACTGTCGTCCATGCGGGATCAGGTGATTGGCCCTCCGGGTGGTCCGATGCAGGGCTGGATCAGCTCATCGATTGAGTCTACTCATCCTTCAAACAGCTCGATGATGAAAGATAGAAGATCAGATTGCAATTGTTCTCACTGTGATACATGCAAAGCCTACCTACTCACCCACCCACTCACTCACTATATGGATATTATCAGTTATATCGACGATTCAAATCAACTCACCCACTCCACAGGTCCCGCCCGACTACGTTCCCAGAATCGTAGATTCAAAAACAGTCAACGCAAAAGAGAAAAAGACAACAGACCCCGAGAAACACACAACACCGGAGAACACCACCCATGCTTGTGTGGCACTACTTCTTCTGCTGCTCAGCAGCAGCCTGCGCAGCCTGTTGTGCCATGATGTCCACGTAGACATGGCCCAGAGGTCCTGCCTCTGGGCTCCATCCCCCATGCTCGACTCTGTACTTGTCATTTCCGTCCAGCACCTCGACGAGGTTGACCCAATTGCCCTGGCGGTTGTCCCAGTGCAGCTCGCAGATCTTGTCCTCGCCGTGGAAGAGGTCGAGGCGGCCCTCGCTGCCGCGGCGGCCGCGGGCACAGATCTCGCCGACGCCGTAGGAGGGGATGCGGAGCTCGTCGACGTCGTCTTCGGTCATGGCTTTGTTGGAGTCGGGGTCGTGGAAGTCTCCGCTGGAGGAGCGTTAGTTACAAATCCTGCTAGCTGCTACGGATAAGGGAAAAGCAAAGACGAACCCCTCGATGACGGTGTGACGGACGGAGATCTCTCCCTTGTCGAGGTGGTCCCGGATGTGGAACTGCACCCATTGGGAATTGTACTTGTCCATGGTAGCTGAGTCCATGATGATGGTCAGTGCGTGTGAGTTGGTTGAGATACGGTTGGAGAGTGGTAGATTAGTTAGACGAAGGGTGAAGCCCTCGGAAGCTGTGAGGAGAGAAAGAAACGGGCCTGGAGAGGGTGAGGGAAGGAAGAGGGTTATATAGGGTTGGGACTTGGGAGAGGACGGGGAAGCCCGCAAATGTTGGCCCGGAACACTGGGAGGTGACGAGACATGGTTCTACCGTGGACGAAGGCGGAGGACAAACAGCGAAACAGACGATGCGAAACAGGCGATCCCTCCCTGTGCTTCTCTGTGCCAGTGGGAGACAGGAATCAGCGGATCATATGACGGATGGTGGTGGTACGACCTGGTTGGTTCTTCTGTGGGCTGATCCTCGGATCCAGTCTGGCTTTGACTTTCAACGAGGCGAATCTGGGGGAGGAGCAGAGCGGCCTTTGTCGTGCCCTCTGCATTGAGTTTGGCAGTTGCGTGAAAATTGCGGGGTTACCGCATGGCTGCATGAAGATGGTCGCGTCATTCATTTATTCGACGTCCATTCATTGACTCTATTGATTGTTTGGATGCATCGCTTGCTTCCCTTCCCCTTCCCGTCTTCCCTCCCTCCCACCTCTCCCAGTATCTCCCCTCCCGGAGATCATCGTTGGGTCCCTGGCTGAGTGATTGTTGGACACTATGTAACCATAATCTTGACAAAGTGCTACATGTTGTTTACGGCTTGGATGCTCAGTTGGAGTGCCTCACAGCTACGATTAGGGTGGTCTATCGATCATCCGTGGAGTATAAGGATACCTCCACCGCTGGAAGGGACTGCACGCCGGGGTCTCTCGCAGGTCGACGAGTAGAAAGAATGCAGCCGTCTGGAGGCTAGGAGCGCACCCAGCCCACTGGCCACGACACTCGTATCGCGGGCTTCAATGGCGCGTTTGCATGCATCGACCTGGCTAGATGCTGGCCGTCTTCACTCGCTCCCTGTCACATTGTTACACTTGCTCTCACAGCGTTGTGGGATGTCCACGAGTCTATCCACCCCTCTTAGATGGCGAAGGAACAGTGCCATGCTTCTGTTCCCAGGAACATGGACGGGTGAGAGATGTGGTTGAAACCAGACCGTCGTGGTGTTTGACACCGACCGCTTGCTCGCGTGACTGAAAGTTCGATGAGACCATGGGGATAGGAGGCGGGGGGCCTTCAGTAGCCCGCATAAGCATGACGCGATGAAGTCTGTCTCCCATCAATGGCCAGTGGTCAGTGGCAACTTGTCTGGAAGAAGATGGATCTTTTCTCGACGATCGGGGGCCCACAGGACGAAAGCATTCGCCTATGGGGAAGGGTCCAGGCAGCCAAGAATACGCTGACGGTGGCAGGTTAGTGGCCGATCGTTTCTCAGTTTCTCAGTTTCGCATTCCCCGGACAGGACGGGACCTTTGTTACTGAGGTTACTCCGTACTGAGAGTGGCATTCCTACCCCGCATTCTGCGGGAAACATTGATGCATTCAGAGAGACAATAGTCTCCCTGTCAATGGACGGGTCACGAGGGAGTCATCGACCCTCCCACACCTTCCTGTCATGATCTCATCCTTCCCGGCTTATGTAACCGGCTTGGAGCTCCCCCGCATTTCCACCTCTGGGGAAGCTATCGGCCTTTCGGTACATACATGGCACTGGGCACCTACTGGCATAGACCATTGCCTACTAGGTACGGTCGCTTTTCTTCCTGCCTACCTTGGTTATTCTTCTCCCGCTGGCAACCTTCGCTCCCAGTGGGAGATACTAACCGCGCATCACGTTGCTGCATCCTCATTCTCCCCGCCAAGGTGCCTGAAATAGACTTCTCCATTCCGTGCGAATACATAGTAGCTTGCTTGTTTTATCTCAGCTTCTATACAGAGCTTGTATACAGAGTCAATGCATGATACCTTCCCATATGGCCGTGGTATTTGTCTTGCCGTGCCGCTGCCCGCGAATTGGCAATACCGTAACCTGGCCGTGGCCATATACTAGTAAGTATTCCGCCTAATAGAGTTTAGTTGAGTTATACATATTAACTTATGCTCTCTTGATTAGTAATTCCCAGCATAAATCTCAAGCACGAGATCACCAATATCTCAATGATATATCTTGTATATCACTGTTCTTTTACCGAATGGCATCACATCCTTTATCTTTCATTTCTTCTCTTTGTTCTTGGTTTATACCCGGTACGTGGGTATAGCTACATCTCCTGCCGACTTCGGAAACGTCCATATTCCAGCTCAGCTAGTAGGAAACTGGCCCGCATTCTAGTACAATTAGCCGCAGTAGCTCAAAAGGTCAGCCAATATGGTCGACTGGTAGAGCAGACGGAGGACAACGCTAACGTAACGGCGACTACCAAGTTATCGCAGGCTACCTACCTAGTAGTTAGTTAACGTTAACTACTGCAGTGTACTTTAGTAAGCAATAAATCTCAATCTCGCTTGCTCTCACTGCAATCTGTAAACTGAACTACTACAGTCTTTCACCTCCTGTACCGCCCGTCTATTTAAGTCCCGCCTTTCTCTCTTGGCTGTCATTCCCTCTTTGACAATCAACACACATCAATCATGGCATTTCCCGCCGATGGGACTCACTTGAGAGAAGATGACGGTCCGACGGGCACAGCTGACCCTGCCCCCCCTGTCGACGCGCAGCAGCAGCAGCAGCAGCAGCAGCCGCAGCCGCTATCGCATCCGCAAGGACCACCTCAACCACAATCCTCGGAAGAGTTGCGTGCGTTCAAGACCCAGCTTATGGCACTAGAGGCGGAGAATCGTCGGCGGTTGACGGAGCATCGACCGGCCGAGAGGCAGGCACAACAACAGCAGCAGCAACAGGCAGAACAAGAGAAGCAGCAGGCAGAACAACAGCAAGATCAATACCAAGAAGAATCAGAGCAATCACCGCAGCCACAACAGCCAGTACAACAGATACATCAACATCACGGCCCCTGGGGGATGTCTCAGCTCCAGTCTCAGCTTCAGGACTTTCGGTTGCAGCAGGCCTTGCTGGAGAGGCAGCGCCAGATGATTCTAGCTCGGTTAGCGGAGCAGCAGCAGCAGCAGCAGCAGCAGCAGGAGCAAGGGCAGCACGGAGACCCCAATGTCCCCGGCAGTCCTGCGGTCAAAGAAGAAGAATCGGTCGGCGATGTCCCCAGCCCCAACCGCAAGGTCCCTGTTCATGTCCTCCAGGATTATCAGCTTGGGCTCACACTGCAGCACCGGCGCGTGCAGCTGCAGAGCGCCTACCGGCAGTCGCGGGTCGAGCACCTGCTGGCCCGGCAGGAGTCTATGGAGGACAGCTACGCGCAACTGCTGCTGTGGCGTCTCGAGCGGCCCTCGCCGCGCACGGAAGACGAGGCGGAGATATTGACGGACCTGAAGCGACTGCTGGAAGCCGGGTTGGTGGCGATTCAGGGCGCCATGCAGGAGCCGCCGACCGTCGAGCTTACCGACGGAGACCGGCAGCTGGATCTCCAGTTGATCCAGTTGAATCGACTGCGGTACGCGGTGAGGGACCAGCACATCGCTGAGGGCCTGGTCGAGCCTGACGAGGGCATTAGGAGGACGATGAACACCAGGTTAAGCTCCCAGGAAAGATTCGAGGATCTGAGGTTGCACTTGGACCGTCGGCTCGCCTGACCGGACTACGCCGCCCTTCCTGATGGGAAAGGGCCACAAGCTGATGGGATACTCTGTACATAACAGTGAGAAGTGAAGTAGAGGTATGGAAATAATCCTCTAGAGACGACTATTCCCTGATGATCTTGTCGGTAATAAACGGCTGAGATGCACCGTTCCAGCAGTAGGCGAATCTGCAACTTGAAGCAAGCTCAAGACAGGCCAGCACAGTCAAGTTTGCGCAAATTCCTGTTACAACAGCCTTCGAGGTTCAGTCGGCCATACGATGCCTGCTTCGATTGGGAGGGGACATTTCTGTATCCATAGATCACTGCATGTTAGCTGCGTTTCACGGAATATGCATGCAAAATTCTCACCACAAAGATCATCGCGTGAGGTTCTGCCCATACACACAGAATTAAATTTCCCTTCTAACTATCATCAGAATAGCGCCAGACTAATCGGCGCATAGGATAGGTCCGACATTAGACACATCGCCAGAAGTCGACCGAAAGGCCCTGGAGTCAATGGCCGAACGGCAGACCGCGTATCAGGCATATAACCCGTCATCAAATTCCCACCTGGGATTTACTGAGGCCCCCATCTACTAATCAGGCTGCCTATCTGCCGATAACGTGGCATCAACCTGTCATCTCAGTGGCTCTCCGAAATGGGGCCCTTGGATCCTTCACCGGCCGCGCAGGGTGCAGGATTCGCATTCTTATCGCAGGAGTCGTTAGCGCGGGGTCCCGACAACCTGGCGACGAATGGCCGGCTCGGATTGAGGGCATTGGAGCGGCGAGGGATGCTTAGCTGTATATCTCCAAAAGTATGAAGAGTCTTGCTCGTGTGCCGGTCTGCTTCCGGCTGGTCTTGACCTCGAGTCTCGTGAGATTAGTTCATATATAGCCGCAATGTTGTCCCATTAAGTGAAAGGATCTGTGCCTCTTTCCCTATCCAACAAGGAAAGCTATCAACCACAATGCTACGCCTTCTCACCCGCGAGCTCAGCCTCTGCTACGGCTTCGTGCGGAGGGATCTGGGGACCGGCCTCCTCCCGGTGCCATTATTCACCCTGGCCTCGCTCCTGTACCGTCGCGCACCACGCGCAGAGATCGCTCCAGCCATCGCCCGTACGATCCCCCCCGCCCGTCTCACCCCGTCCCAAGCTAATCCATCTCTCATGAGCAAAGAAGCCTTCCTCTACGGCTTCCTCTACCTCTACACCTTCGTCGTCTCCAACCAAATCACCGGCGTCCGTGAAGACCGCGTCAACAAGCCCGACCGTCCCATCGCCTCCGGGGCGGAATCCCTCTCCGCAGCAAAGTCCCGCTACTGGCTTCTTACTGCCTTGTATCTCGTCCTGGGACACCACCTGGGTGTAACTATCTGGACACTTCTGTGGATCGGCACCACGATCGCGCACAACCCTTTGGGGTTCTCGAACTTCGGGCCCACGAAGGACCTGTGCATGGGTCTGGGGTGTATCGCGCAGTTGAAGGCGGCGTGGACGATCGGTGGAGCGCCTGCGGCCATGGGGTGGCACTGGATCAAGGTGATTGCCCTCTACATGCTGTGGCCGATTCCGTTGCAGGATCTGCGCGATGTGCCGGGGGATTTGGCGGCGGGGCGGCGCACGACGCCCATTTTGTTGGGGGATTTTGCGGGTGAGTTCGTCCTTTGTTGTCCTTTACCCCTAGTATATTGGTAGTTTTGTGTGTCAAGGTGCTTCGGTGCTGAGCATAGTGCAGCGCGGGTGTATATCTCGGTGGGCATTGTGGTGTCGCAGGTGAGTTGTCCTTGACCTTTCTCCTGGCGTATGGGAGGAGTAGGGGCTGATTTCGGTCGATACCGCAGTACTTGTTGATCTACCATCGGATCCTGGAGTATCGATACGATACTTCCACTGTCGCGACGGCGGTGGCGCTGGGGCTGATGACGATCGGGTGCATCTTTCGGCTGTTCGCCTTCCGGTCGCTGACGAGTGATCGGTTCTCGTACTGGCTGTATACCGTCATCTACGTGTGTCAGCCTCTGGCTGCATGCGTGACCTTGCGGTGAAAGATCGGGGGATTGAGGGATCGGGTGGGATGGGATGTGGGCAAAGTGGTAGAGGCGGCGTGACGAAGTATGGCAAATGTCCCGTATGTATAGACATCCACCAAGGTATTAGGACAAGAAACATTTTCAACCAAGACGGTCGGCGACGAGGTGGTTGATGCTGCAGGTTCTAAGGAAGATCACCCGCTGCCCGCGGCATTGGCTCCGAAAGGGCTTCATCGACCCTCATCACTTCATTAGACAATATGTATTATGGCATAATCACATCAGTAGTTGGTTGCACACGTCATGACAGATCTCCGCTCCCTGGAAACACAATGATGCTCCTCTCAATGCTACCTTGCATCGATCACTCCGACTCCGCACTCGACAACCCCATCGTCGAAGTATCGTAGCCCTTCGACTCCAGATACTCCCGGAACCGCACATCCTCATGGGTGATCGTGTCCTACAGCCCGTTAGTCTCCGGTGTCCCGAGCTACAGAATCGTGAGAAACGCACCTGTGTGATATTTGGCAGACAGAAGTACGCCAAGAAGGCGCTGAAGATGCACAGCGCACTGGACACGTAGAACGGGTCTTGCCCTTGGCGGGTCTTGTTGGGGGCGTTCCGGACGATGACGGGGAAAACGTAGGTGCCCACGAAGGCCCCAACCTTGCCCATGGCGGCGGCCGTGCCGTAGTACTGGCCGCGGATCGGGGTGGCGCAGGTCTTGGCCGCGCAGAGACCGATGTTGTCGCCAGGGCCGACTTCGCCCATGGCGAGGAAGATTCTGGAGGCCCACCGTGTCAGTGTAAATGTACCAAGTGGGGTGGAAATGCAATGCAACTTACCCGTAAACGACGACGAAGGCGGCGACGTAATGGCTGGTGTCCAGGTACGGGTAGCAGCCCGTCATGATCAGGCCGATCACGCCTTGTACGAAGACACCGCCAGCCAGGGTGTTGCGAGGCCCATACCAGTCGCTCAGGAATGCGCCTAGAGCCGAGCCGGGCAGGTAGAAGACGTTGATCACCGTGTTCCAGCCGAGGGTGACCCAGAGGGGGGCGTCGTCGCCGATGATCAAAGACAGCCATTGGGAGGAGTAGATACTGAAGGAGTAGGTCGAGAAATCGTACATAAACCAAATGAGGGAAACCGCACACTGGATGAAATTGACTGTTAGTTGTGCTCGCGGTCCATGTGTGAGGCGCATGTAAGGCTTACCCAGCGCTTCCAGTAGAATCTGATTCAATGGGTTAGCATCGCATCAACAGTCTGGTGCAGGCGTAGGCACCTACTTCACAATCAACCAGATGGGAAACTTGTGCATCTTCTCGCGCGTATATTCGGTGGGCTCCTTGAGCTTCATCCGCAAGTAGATCAGACTGAGCGGGGGGATGACTCCGAGACCCAGACAGATGCGCCAGGCGGCGCGGAGGTGGTTCTCGCCACAGGCCAGCACGACAATCATGGGCACCAGCGAGGAGGCGACCGAGGCCAAATCGAGCTGAAAGTTGGTGAACAAAATGAACCACCGATGACGTTGGCCCTTTTTCATCTCTCCACTGCTCTCCGCGGCGGCCACCGACCCGGCCGGATATTCGCCGCCCACGCCCAAGCCCAGAAAGAAACGATAGACCGTCAACGCGGTGAACATGCCAGTCAGACTGCCGTTCGCTCCATAGGCGCCAGCACACAGTGCGCCAAACACGAAGAGAATCACGGTAGAGACCATCAGGGTGTTGGTGCGCGACCAGTGGTCGGACATGTAGCCGAAGACCAGCATTCCCACCACCGTGCCGGCAAAGGCGATCGAGGAGACGTTCTGACTATAGGTCGATCCCGCGTAGACGTCGGGGTAGAGCTTATCTAGCATCGTGTTGACCGTTCCGATGACCTAAGACATGGTGAAGTCGAATGTTAGGGGACCAACCAGGGCCAGGGGATCATTGCTATGTGATCGACTCACGTATTGCAGGTAGCCGTCGGACCAGAGGCCAGCACCACAAGCAAAGGTGGGCCAACTGCGCTCCCAGAAGGTCTTCTGGGTAGCAGCCAAAGGATCCTCATCGATGGAGCGATGGGTGTCGGGGGACACCGTCAAGTCCGTCTGCTTCTCTTCTTTCGGATCCATGATGAGTGTGCCTTAGGGGGGAGGGATAAGGGAAAGGCAGTTACTCCGAGGTAACAGAGCAGAAGAAGATCTGCAGGTGTAGCTGCCTGAGGGACGGTCAAAGGGTAAGAACCGAAGGTGTGCTGCGGAAAAAAACACGAGAAAGAGAAAAGAAGGTGGGCAGGGACAGGTTTTATTCCCTGCAGGTGGGAATGGGAATCAGCCCTCTCCGACAAGTTCATGTCATTTGTTCACCACTGCAGTGAATGCATGATAGACTGATTAGGTATTAGGTAGGATCCTTTTGTTGCACGGCAGGGTAAAAAAAAATCAAAAAAAGTTACAAGTAGCAGGTACATAATTTAGCATGTGACAGCAGTAATGGTTGGGGGTATTGAGTACCTGTTCAGTGGCTGCAAAGGTTGGGAAGTGGCTCGGCCTCGCCGACCCGTACCAAGCTCATTGCCCACTGCCAATCAGCATCCCCTGGCAATCTCCCCCGCAAGACCCCTCAGTGGAGTCGGATATGCGCCTCCACCAATCCAACCCTTGCTCTTCCTCCCACGTGCAAATGCGTCTGCCAGTGACTGGGCCAACATTTCTTCTACTAGGTACGGAGTAGCAGAAGGATTACTGCCCGGGTGAATGCATGACATGCTTGCCTTGCCTGCGCATTTACCATCTGATCAGAATTTTCACAATGAGAGCCTTTGCCCTGCATGATGTCTGCTCGCATGCATCAAGACAAAAAAGACATTTGAAATTTCCAAACGAGGATGGGAAAACATATATGATCTCTTGCACAGCGATCAATACCCGGTCCCAAGGTAATATCGAAAACGAATTGGGAGAGATAAGATAAACAAACCATGTGCCGCCAGTGTGATAGACAGACCCCCTCTGATTTGTGCGCGTGTCTGTCACCTTTCGCCTGGTCGGAAAAGTACGGAGGGCCCCCACCACCCACCGCAGTCGGCCAGAATTCCTTCTTCCCAGTTCATTCCAATCCTCTCTAGTCATGGTCAAGCTCTCTCCCACGTGCAGGGCTGCATAGCGCTCATGCTAAGTTCCTTGGTCATGAACCGATGGAGACGGTTCTCAACATGTTAAAGATATATTTTCGGTTGCAGGGGTGTTCAGTCGACCCAGTAGAAGAAAAAAAAAAAAACTTTTCTGTGGCGTTCAGCTCAACTGCCTGAGCGCAGAACTAACACCCTAGTTCAATCCATCGTGCAGCAGTGCAATCGATCGATAAGTGGTGGTGTGTTTTCTCAATCCGGGCAATACGCCGGCGGATCCCTCGATAAGTCCTCCCTGAATGTGAACTGATGCATAAGAGACTTCCGACCGGATGGGTTTGTGTCTGTCAGGAAAGTATGAGTGAGGGAGGTGGCAAGTAATTTACACTGAGTCTCCACCCCATCTACACAGAATGAAGAGAACCAGGAAATGGGCCATTATCACTGCGGTTGTCTGTATTGGTATATGAATCTATAGACTGATTCCCACTAACGACGATCTCGATATAAATAAAGTACCTATGTTGATCGGGGAGCGGTTGAATTAGGGCTACATCGAAGGTGTTTAGGTCATCAATAGCGTGGTGGCACGGAAAAACGTGCGGTGATACTCAGTATTAGGGCCGAGCCAAGGCGGGAGTCACAGGCTGGTTAGTTGGCAAGTTCGCCCAGGCGGGCGCCTGTCATCTGCAAGCTACTCGGGACCGATGCCGGATCGAATCCCGAGTCACGATAGTCCGGACCAGTCAGATGGTTCGCGGAGGGAGAAAGGGACAAGCAGAGATCTCCTTCAAGCTTCCTCTTGGCTGTGGACCAAGACCGCCAGGTCGAGCAGACGGTTGGAGTAGCCCCATTCGTTGTCATACCAGGCGATGATCTTGAAGAACTGCGGGTTGAGCTCGTTGCAAGCGGCCGCATCGATGACCGCCGAACAGCACTCGCCCTTGTAGTCGCTGCTGACCAGCTGTTCATCGCTGACGCTCAGCACCCCGGCCAGGTCAGTCTTGGCCGCCCGTCGGAATGCCGCCAGGATCTCCGCCAGGGAGGTCGGTTGGGCAGTGTTGATAGTCAAATCAATCAGGGAAACGTCGGGTCTAAGGGAAAGTTGACATGTCAGTGTCATTTCTTCATCGTGAAGTTCACGACAAGCGAGGAGAGGATGACTTACGTCGGAACGCGGACAGAGATACCCGTCACCTTGCCTTGCAGCTCCGGAAGAACAGTGGCAATGGCCTTGGCAGCACCCGTGGTGGTGGGAATGATGTTATCAAACACCGTGCGACCCAGACGGGGGTTCTTCTTGCTGTAGCCGTCCAAGACCTGCTGGGACTGCGTGGCCGCGTGAATGGTGGTCAGGAAGCCCTGCTCCAGGCCGAACTGCTGGTTCAGCACCTTGAGCACGGGGGTGACGCAGTTGGTCGTACAACTCGCACAGGAGATGACCTGGTTGCTGTCGTCCGGGCGGTAGGCGTCCGAGTTGACACCATAGACATACGTAGGCGAGTCGGAGCTGGGGGCAGAGATGATGACGCGCTTGGCCTGGCCGTGGGTGACATGCTGTAAGGCCAAGTCCCGCTTGGTGAATTTGCCGGTACTCTCAACCACGTAGTCGGCGCCCAACTCGCGCCAGTTGATTAGGCGGGGGTCACGCTCGGAGATCAACCGGATGGGCTGGCCGCCGATGGTGATCAGACTATCGCTAACGGCGACGATCTCCTTGTGAGGGTCCATCCGACCCATCGTGCCGTCGTAGCGAATCAGGTAGATCAGGTCCTTGATTGAGTTGCAGGTGTGGTTGATAGCCACGACCTCGAGGTCGGAGCGAGTCAAGGATGCACGTAGCACATTCCGGCCTAGGGAAAGGGTTGAGTTGGTCAGGGGCGCCTCACGAAGGGTCGATACTCTAATTGAAGGGTGAGCTTACCTATGCGACCGAAGCCGTTGATTCCAATCTTGCATGAAGGGCCATCGAAGCGGCTAGACTGTACACTCTGGACCGTGGAGGCGAAGTCCTCGTTGTGGATTGACGGCGCCATGGCTTGCAGGGAAGGAGATCAGGGTTCAACAAGAAGGATGTGTCTTTCAGATGATCTTATCCAGTCTGTTAGTGACAATTACATATTCCTACCCTGTGTTAGGAGCAGATTGCCTATCTTAAATGTGGCCAGGGCCTCATCCCGAAGAAAGTGCCGATAATCGGATGGGAGACCCTCGGCCCGGGAGATTCCATCATATCGGAGGAAGCTGAAGGCATTACGAAAGCTGAAAACCGGATTGAAGTTAGGTGTCAATTTCCATGACAGGAAAGAACATATGGCCGACAACTTGTCAACTACGTAAGGCATTTGTTCGCGGGAATTACTTGTGACGATGCATGGCTACCTAGTATACTTGAGCGAACTAGAAGCAACCCGCCCTACCGACTTAGCACCCGAAGGGACATGCCAGCCAGGTGCAGTGCAGTGCGAGAGACCAATGAGAAGGTAGGGATGGGCAGCGGACATTCTCAAAGAAGAACAAGGGGAATAACCGGGGGATATGGCCGGAAAACGGATTAGAGATTCACCGCGAAGACTGCCACTTGTCCTGCCTCAGGCTAGAAACATAGTGCTGCCTTGGCTGGGTTACTTGCTGCCTTAGGCATCAGGGGAGATCGGGCTGGCAAAGTCCGCCCGGCCGGAGCAAGATTCTTTTTTTCATCTTGTTCTGACGGCCAAGCAAGCCGGGGGTAAATTGGTCCGGCTCGGGGAAGTTCCGATCCCCCCATGAATTGCCAAGCTGGCCGTAAAGCGCTCAAGTGGGGGCGTGTGGTTTCAGTCCGGCATCCCGACCAATCCTCACCACAACCACCACACTTACCCTAACTACCCTTCCTGAACCCGGCCTTGAATATCTCCTCGCGAGCTCCGCGAAGGTCGTATCCGCGGACCAGATGGAGGTTCTTATCTCCTTATAGACCTTCGCCTCCCCCCCTCTTGCATGCATGTCGATTTCGTTGTCATCCTCCTGGTGGATGTACCTATATCCGTGATCATGACGTGTAGACGGTCGAGTGGGATGCTGGGCGACTGGAGGGATGATCAGTAGCACCCAAGAAAATTCCACGTGAGCAAAGCACTGTCAGGGCAAAGCTTGTTCTCCTTGTCCGCTTGGCTTTTCTAAGCGAGGACCGACACACCATTCTTGCCTCCTACTCACATCCCACGCTTCTCTGCAAGGGCATACGAGGTGACTAACGGTGTGGCATGACTTCGTAGATCCGTAAGCCCAGCGCCAACTGGTGCATGGCATGAGTATCACTCTGCATGGGGCTGTATGGCCCGATTGCTCCTCGTTTCCTCGTCTACCGCGCCTTTACCAAATGCGAATGCCGTGAATCCACCCTCTACCCCCCCATTTTGCCCCCCGGACGGTTCGCCGACCCACGTACACCCACATGGGTACACCACTCCAATGCACCCCAACGCACCCCAGCTCATCGAGAATCCCAATTTGCCAGAATTCGAATCCTCTCTGGTCTCATGCGGGGCCCCAGCGCGGGAGTCTGGAGCAGAGATTGGAAATCCCCCGGCTGGGCATGAGTTGGGGTCGTGGTTTGGAGACCTATAAAGATGTGCTCACCACCTGCCTTGTCCTTTCTTGCGCCTTCTGCACCTCACTTTCTGCCATCCTCCTACCTTCCGTCCATCCCATCTCTCTGCACCTCACATTCTCGCTACCATGGCCCAGTCTCGGGTGCCGGCCCGGGGCCTCACCGGAAGGACCCTACACTTGGCCCAGATTGCCCTTATTGTGGCCCCGGCCTTTGTTTGTTTTGGCTACAATCAGTCTGGGCTGGGACCCCTTGCCACCCTCCAGAGCTGGGTGCACACTTTTCCTTCGATCGACACCGTCAACACTGTTGGAGAGCAAAAGTCACAAAACTCAACCAGCAAGGGGGCGGTGGTTGCTTCCTTCCAGATCGGAGCGCTCATTGGGGCCTTCTCTTGCATGTTTATTGGCGATCGGCTCGGGCGGCGCAAGACCGTTTTCTTGGGTTCCATTCTGTCGATCATCGGACAGGTCTTGCAGGTGTCAGCTTATCAGCTGGTGCAATTTGTCATCG